TAGTAGCGGTTAAGTGTCGCAGAGTGCCATAGAGCTGTTATAGCAGCTCTCATGTATGTATCTAGATGCTTGCTTAAATCTCATGGTGATGTTATTATTTGATTGCTCAGAACTGTGGTCATTACATAATTTTTTGGGAAATCTACATGACCCATTTTTAAGCTAGTAAAAAATGTGAAATATCTTTAGTGTAATGTTAGAGAATGTTGCCAAGTTCTAAAGGTTATTTTTGTTTTCTTGAACAACAAGAAAGTCAGCAAACATTTCCTATGAAACATCTTGTAAATACTCAACATATAAAGGAAGATTTTGCCCTCGTGCACAATAATTGAAGATTATGCCTGTAGATGGGCGTTTTGAAAAATATTTGTTTCAAGCAAAACTCATTTGAAGTTTGAGAAACTGGCTCTGTACATTTTGGCCTTTCCGCTTGGGAGTATCGGATCAACATAAAAACATAATTGTTCATTTCTAAAAATGTGCAGATGCCGTATCATTGAGTTTCAAAACAAAAACCAATTTTACAATACACCCTTCTACAGGCAAACTTATTAATTAAACCTGCAAGCTTACAGAGTCGGTACTGAAAACCTCTGAAAAACTAAAATGAAATTCTGTCTTTTTTGAGATTCTCATGCTTTTTGCCTAAAATGTATTGTTCAATGTATTAGATTTTATTTAACTTTTCTTTTTTTTATTAATTCAGGAGCAAAGTGTTCAGCAACATTAGCAAAATTCTCGCTCGTAGTGAAGAAATAGAAGATCCGTCTCACAGCTTTCACGAAAGTCATGTCTCCACTTACTCTCAGGTATGAGTTTATATTTTACACTGATAATTATTCAGTCTGTAATGAAGCTTGGTTGTATTGTATGTATGATTACATTTAGCCTCTTGCCAAAACAAAAATTTTAACGCTGTTTTTTGGGGAATTTCGAGTTTTTATGGTTTGGATGACATCTTTAGCTCTGGTGGGAAGTGGGACTAAGAGTTAACCGCCAGTTAAATTTTAATCGGTGCCTGTAGTGTTTGTTAAAATTTAACTAGAAGATAAACTCATGAAAGGAGGTGAAGGAACTAGGCTTTACTTAGCTCATCGAAAGGAACAACCTTTTTTATTCAAATTCAGAAGTCAGATGTTGGCGTTCAATTTATTTTTTTCATGCATGAGTCTTGGATTATTATTCATCCTTCATATTTTTATTGAATAACATATCAGAAGAGACATCAAAATCAAGAGAATAAGCTTATTAAAACTCCTTGTATGTTCTTTTAACCCTTATACTTCCAAAACTGGCTTCCAGGACTAATTTTCCTAAATATTATCAAGCCTCTCATACTGACCAAAATTTCTTGATATATCCTTTTTAGACGGGAACGTATGTGGAAATTCTGGGTGACCTCACATCATTTGTTGATATTAAAGCTTCAAGTCGCCAAGCAATGATAGGCAGTCTGACAGACAATTCAACAGAGACGTTCTGGGAATCTGGAGATGAAGATCGAAGTAAAACAAAGTCCTTGATGTTTGTTTCACCAGCAAATCTGTCTCCCCGTATGATCTACGTACACATAGATAATTGTAGAGACATTGCTGTAAGTTTTACTTTTTAATTCTTATTCCTTGTAATATTTCAGTTTCACCAGTCTGCTTATTGTCTGCATAAAGTCTTCTTGTATTTATAACCCAACCTCTATATATCATTGATGATTTAAAGAATTTTGAGTTTCATTGCTGATGATCTGATTTATAGTACCTCAAGTAATAATCTAAGGATTAAGACTAGATAGTTCCTCGAAACTTGCGTAGATCTAACAATCTAATTTATGGAAATTCTTCTGTATCAATTCTTTTAAGATTAGATTTGCCCTTTTAGAAGGTACACCACTTTTCTTAAAAATTATTAGCATTATAATTAAATGTTATTTTACATAGTATCCATATTATCCAGAAGAAAGTATCAACATTTTTCGAAGATACACAAAAAATATATGAATTTTCTTAACATTTTTTGGGGACTTATCCATTTTGTTTGATTTCATAAATTTCCATCCATGCAGTATTTTAATTTTTTTTACTATCTATTAATTTTCAGAATAAAGTATCTAGTATAGTCTTCCTAGCTGGAGCAAATGGTGATGAACTTTTCAGACTCCGTTCGATCGATGTTGAAGTAAGAGCTTCAGGGTGGATCAACTGTCCAATCTTAAGTAAGTTTCCTGCTCAATTTTTTCAAGCAACTAATTCAGAATTTACGCAAGTGTCCCTCAAAAATGGCGTACACAATCTATTGCTTTTAAAATCTCTTTTCAGAATTCGTTTTAATTTCTTCAATCCTGTATTGATCAGGCAATCAGTTACTGCAGATATGTCGATTGAATTTTTTCGATGAACATGGACCTATAAATAATGAAGGTTGATTGATTTAAGCTCAACTAACTTTATTAGGTGTTCTGTCTTATTTTTAAATGTTTAATTTTTTATTTTTGTTTAATAGACAACAACCACAGTGTGGTCAAGTTAGAGCTGAAAGGGCCAGATAGCTCACTACGAGTGAGACAAGTTCGTATTCTTGGTGAAATAGAGGGCGAGTCACTACGGTTACCACAACAGCATTCAGCAATGACAATACAGCAACGAAATACTGAGGCAGAAACACTGCGTGTCTTCCGACTTATTACGGCTCAGGTATGTAAAACATTTTTTTCTCATGAAATAGAACCCTCTTTGCTTCACGTCCATTTCTAGGAGGAGGAAGAAAATTTTGGTTTAAAAAAAAAGTGAGAATTTCCATCATTGATGAAAGTGCTGGATTTTCTGTACCATTCGTTGATGTTTCACTCTCTTATGGGGTCGTCCATGAAATATGTAAGCTTTAGGAGGAGGGTGTGTTACAAGAGGAAGGGGGAGATCAAGGGCTGCGCTTTGCTGAAATCAACCCGTGTTTCAAAATTTAAGACTAGTAATAGTTGCTTAGTCGTTCCACCCAAAATTCACAGAAAAATGCCAGTTTTAGGAGAAAGATCAAATAAAGTCATACAATTTTTGTAGGGGGCGTAGACCTGTGTTACTAGGAAGGAGGGGGGAGTGAAAAATCCTGTATTTATAGTGTTATATATTTTGTGACAGGCCCCTTTGAGTTACTCTGATAAAAATTCTGCAGTTTTCGGACAGTAAATGTTATTTTATTGAAAATGAAAATTCTGTTGGGTTGTTTCTGTAAATGTAGGCACAATGCTCATCCTTTTTTTTCCCCTCTTTTTTAATACGGATTTCAATATTTTGATGGCAGGTGTTCGGAAAGCTTCTTGAAGGAAAGAAAGAAATCAACAGTTGTGATGAAGGAAGCGAAGAAACAAATGATCTCAAAGAGCATATGGTTGGAATTCTATTCAGCCGAAGTAAATTAACTCATCTGCAAAAACAGGTATTAACACTTATTCACACAGACTGGAACACTTATTTGTGTTTTTTTCAGTACATGGATTCAAGTTAAAAGAATGTGTTACTTGTAATACACTCTCAAATTATTAATCCAGAAGATGAAAGAAAGCGATTCTTTAAATCGACTGTGCCTAATGGAAAATTACGATACTGCATCAGCTATAGTCAACTTTGTCAGTCAATTTATTTTTTTTTCAGGAGGATGGTTCTGTGAATTCTTTTGAACTTCTTAAGGAAATATTTCTGTGGGAAGAAAAATAAAATTTCTCTGTAATTTTCAAAGGAATCTATCCAACCGACCTCTTGTGAAAAGAAAAAAAGAAATAAATAATAGTAATCATAATAAAAAGAAAAAATGAAGCGTCCGATCGAATTCTGTAATAGCTAATGGCACTCAGTTCTCTTGTACTAAAGTTTTGGTTAAATTTTACTTACTTTTTCAACAGCAGCAGAGCAAATGCTATTCCATTAGTTTCCTGCGACTTTTAATTTTCAAGAAATTTTTCTCAGGTAATCAAACCGTCACATTTAACAAGGTGGAGAAATGGTGCTGGGTCCACACCATTTCGCGGGGAAACAAAGCCAAGAAATACCAAAAATTAAAATTAGAGTAAAAAATAAATTTTTAGAACTCTAATGCGCACCAGTATGAAACTGAGAGGGGGAGAGTGTTCAGCTCAGGCAGTTTGCAATGGAATATTAAGTTGGGACACTTTTGTGTCATGCCTCGGGTCATATCCATGACGGCGTTTTAATGCCGTCTTGGATTTTGCGGCATGTTAAGTTGGGTTCACTGCTGAGTGTGATCTTCTGATGAGGTCTAATAAGGCCCAAACCGGTAAAGATCTCTCGGCGTGACTCCAACTTAATATTCCATTGCAAACTGCCTGAGCTGAACACTCTCCCCCCCCTCAGTTTCATACTGGTGCGCATTAGAGTTCTAAAAATTTATTTTTGACTCTAATTTTAATTTTCGGTATTTCTTGGCTTTGTTTCCCCGCGAAATGGTGTGGACCCAGCACCATTTCTCCACCTTGTTAAATACAGTTTCGGGCCACTTTTTAGTGTTTAATTTTTTAATTCGTCACATTTAAATCGGCCGTCAACTGTTGAGTTAAAAATATCTAGAATGATATAATTTTAATGAATTTTGTTTTCGCGTAGGTGTGCATGCATATAGTCCAAGCAATTCGTAGGGAGAGTGTGGGCATCCGAGAGGACTGGGAGCACCGGCTTTGCTCTGGATCGGGAACAAGCACTACAGAGCTCTCCGATTCATACTGCTTTGAAATGCTCTCCATGGTGCTTGCTCTTAGCGGGAGCAGTGTAGGTCGCTCATATCTAGCCCATCAACATGCCTTCCTTCTGGATCTAACCGGTCTCCTCCACACAGGCTCTGCTAGAATCCAAAGACAGGTAGGATAGTGAAACGAGACAATTATATTTTTTTTACTCTCGTTACTACATAATTCTCATTTTTACTTTACCACATAGCTAAATTTTCAAACATTTGTTAAGCTAAAGAGCCTCTTGACTTGGTGAATTAAATTGAATTTCAACTTCTGTTAATTTTGTTCCATATTGAAGGCTTTACTCGAAAAGTCCATATTTCTGATTGTGGTGTTGTAAAATTTTCGCTCAAAACTATCAGTTCCTCTTGAAATTTTCCGTGAATTTTCTTCTTTCATTCAAATATGAAACAGAAAATGTTCAAACAGAAAATGTCAAGGAGATATTCTAATTGGTTCTCTCTTAAAAAAAGAAAACGTGGTTGGAGACTTAGAAACATTGTAATGCAGATACGCATTTTTGACGTCAGCCATTGATATGCTATTTATAGCAATACGGAATATTGCATTGTTCAATACTTTATTTTAGTGAATCTTTTCCCTATAATGAACATCCCTTTATAAGCCTTCTTGAATTTGGAATGAACACAGTAATTTTAGAAGTCTTAAGAATAACCTTGTGTGTATGCACAAATTGGAAAGCTTTCTGTTTTCTAAACCCTTTTTCTTTAGATTTTAATCACACAATAAAGGAAAATACGTAGGCTGTCCCAAAAGTACCTGGACTGGTTCTGTAACTTCAAAACTACGATAGATACAGACATGACTTTGGTCTTATTTTAAAGATCAACTTAATACCTATTGATTAAGACCAAGATCAGCTCAATCAAACAAAAATTGACCGAGTTATGATATTTTAAAATCAGTGAGTAAAGTTTAGCCCCACGGTTCTTCAGGAAGATTTTTCACTTACCAGGATTCAAAAAGTTAATCTTCGTTTCCGCTTTCCTCCAAATCTTCCATAATTTCCTTTTGCTTTTCAAAATACCGTCCATTAAACCGGGTGCACTTACTCATGCCCTCTTGCCACTTCTCTAACATTGTTTTCCTGAATTCTTTCCCTGGGATGGAGTTGAAAAAGTTCTGAACTGCATTCTGGATTTCAGTCCTTGATTCGAATCTTTGTCTGCAAAACTCCTTCTTAAAGGCAGGAAACATCCAAAAATCACAAAGAGCCAAGTCAGGGCTACAAGGAGGATGAAGGATTGTTTCAACTTCATTTTTACTCATAAATTCACGCGTAAAGTTCGAGTTGTGAGGCCGCACGTTGTCTTGTTGGAGCATTCACGAAGCTTTCAAGTGCGGTATTCCACCCGTTCGGGGTGCGCCCGGTTGGTCGGGGATTTTTGCGCTTTGGACTCTTGGCCCAAAGGCAGACGACGACAACTGACAACAGCCGACCACCCTGAGGCAATGCTTTCAGGTTGTTCTAGCATTACATGGAAGTTTTTGGGTGAAAACTCAATACCAGATCATACTTTTAGATATCAATATCGTCGATGAAGAATCTACCTTAAAAACCGTAGGGATAAACTTTTCTCACTGATTTTAAATTATCATAACTCGGTCAATTTTTGTATGATTGAGCTGATCTTGGTCTTAATCAATAGGTGTTGCGTTGACCTTTAAAATAAGACCAAAGTCATGTCCGTATCTATCGTAGTTTTGAAGTTACAGAACCAGTCCGGGTACTTTTGGGACAGCCTATGTAGTTTAGGCATGATAGTACATGATGAAGAGAATATCAAGATCCTCATCTGTTTAGTTTCATTCTTCCTTTGTTACGTTTCGAAAATTATGACGAAGCAGTTAATTTATGGCATTGACTATGCACCATTCTCTGCAATTTTTCATTGCAGTTTTAATCGTTTGCTCTATGATTTAAAACTTATTTTATTCCACAGGTGATACTGCTTTTGCGGCGAATGCTTCCTGAGGTATCACCAAGCACTCTAGCTGATATTCTTCGTGTTGAAAGTCTTCCGCCGACTGACATTAGTGTTGCGTTGGCCACTTATCGTAGTCAAGAGATGGAGTTCAATCCTCACCGGTAAATGAGCTAAAATTTTCAGTTGTCCATGCGAAAGAGTTTACCTTTTTTTGTTTCCAGTGTTTAGTGAAAGGGAACGCTGACTCTTTTAAAAAAACTGAGTTCAGGATGGCTTAGAGCTTGTTTTGAGGAGAATATTTTTCTCCTTCTAACCCAAATAGCAGTGATCGAGAAAAATAGCAATTTTATCGGTTGATTATCAGGGTTATATCGGTGGCAATTTATCACGATATTATCGAATAAAATATTGCGATTTATTGCTATGAAATCGCTTTGTATCGCAATTTTTTGTTAGATAAAATTGCGATCAATTTTTGTCGATAAAATCTAAATTAAATCGCCATATATCACAATTTTTGTTTCGATAATATGGTGATAAATTGCCAGGCTATAAAATCGCGATTTTATTGCAACAAGATTGAGGATAATCGCTCAGATGTTGATGATCCTAGCGACTTTATCGCTGATAAAATCGCAATATATCGCGATTTTTCCGTTGAAAAATGCTACTTGAGAAGGACCTATTGTTGGTATAAAATATTTAGTACGCAAAATATAGACTGAAGTTTGTTTTTACTTTGAGCCAACAACGGGATAACACTTCAAACCCATTCTTCTCTGTTTCAAATCCATTTTGTAATCCATTCACTAAAAAAAACAACCAGAATCAAAGCTCTAAGGAAAAAGAAGAGACTCTCTTAGATCTCATTCTATGTGTCTATTTTTTCCCTAAAAGTCATCAGCTTTCATGCATTTTTCAGAGCGGGTCTCCTGGACGTTCTTTTCAGCTGTATTGCAAAAGCCCTAACAGTCCAAATCAAAGTGAAAGGAAGTAAGGATAGCAAAGGTATCTCTTCCGTATCATTAGCAACATCAATTCACCCTCGAGATGAAGTCGGGTGTAGATGGTGGCTTCGTGGCTCCATCCTGCGCAAGCTAGCAGAGGACATCATCAATCTCATCAAGGATATGTGCTTGGTATGTATATTTTTAACAAGTATTGACTGTCGAGTTTTATATTTCAGCTGAGGTAATTTTTATCTGATGTTGCATTATGTAACCTCATACTGCTTGTCTCAACTATCAACTTAAAAAAACCTTTTTTTTCTCTTCCCAAAAAATCTGAAAAATTTTATCATCTAAAAAGAGCCCTTCATGCAGGAATTTTGAAACTTCAATGGAAGGAATGCAATGAAATTTGGCTAAGTTAAACTACTGTTAAGACAAAATCCCGCTTTTATTTGAACATTTCCTTGATCCCTAGACATAGCTGCGAGGGGCAAAGAAAAAAAACTACGATTGAGACAAATTGTGACTCTTGTCGTGGAAGAAAAACCTGACGAAAATTCGATCTTACATGAGAAAAATCAAGAGAAAGGAGTGATTTTAAATGGAACCACCGTCTCAAAAGAGGTTCATAATGCTGTATCTGTATTTTTAAATCAAGTACAGAAATGAAAGCTTCAAAATTTTTGACTTCTGATGTCCATCAATGGTTTGTTGAAAGAAAACAGATAAAATTTGAAAATTCACTGAAAAAATTCAAAATTTCTAATTGATTTTTGAATAATTTTCAAAAAATCATCTCTAATTTCCATAAAATTTCTTAGCTCAAATTTTGGAGCTTATTTGTGCTAAGCGGTGAAGCATATTAGACGGAAAGCTGCTCAAGTCAAAATTTCTCTCAATCCCATGACAGTTCAACTTTTTGGGTTTTCACTGTTCAGTTTTAATCTGCTGTCTACGAATGGAAATAAAAATCCAAGATTGATGCCATTTGTCTCCTGACAACATTACACAGATCTGTATTTAAAAAAAAAGAGAAATAAAAGCGCTCGGCCCCTGTGCTGAATATCTGCCTAAAATATTGACTTTTTTCCAGGGGCGTTTAAGTGAGATCTGGGTCAAAGTTACAAAAGCTGCAATTGCTGAATGCATTTTGAATCTCACACGTCTGACTGAAAGTGACAGAGAGTCTGTTAACTGTCTGCGTAGCCCAACTTTGTGGTTAGCCTTGGCCGCATTGTGCGTTCTTCACCCTGACCATGTTGATTCTCTTTCATCTGCTCAATGGGACACAACTCCTGATGGAAAACCACCTCCACCCAGAGTAAGTAAATCCACCAGATCTTGCAGTACCTTTTGTTTGTTAGCAGCCAGTCTGCATAATATATAGGTGAGGATACTGCAAAATTTGATGTTTTTCAAATTTCGAATTGGGAGTTTGGCCTAAGGATCAACATCGTATCGTAAACAACTATGCTGAATTTTGTTTCGATTGTCAAATTGCGGAACAAAAACGGATATAGTATTATTCAAGGCAAGTTTTCTTTGCTCTAAAATAAATTTAGATATCTAATTTAATGGTGATTTTGCAACTGCCTTTTTCTTTAAAACCTGATTATTCAGGCAATTTTCTAAAGATGCGCTCGCTGTGTGCTTTTTTTGATATGCATGATATGCATGTCACAAAGTCACCAAAAACTACTTTTTGGATTAAACAATCGCCATGCCAGTTGTCAAAGAACAGCTGAGTTGTGAAAATTTCGATGGTAGGATTGAGTCTGTAGACTTATCGTCAAAGTAAATCTCGATATTCACATTCAGGAATTCAGGAACTCACGGAATTGTCAGAATGAAAGCTGGCATTGTAAACCCTAAAGACAAATACGAAAGTAGGTAACAGTATAACCCAAGTTTAGGTGAAGCCCTTGCAGAAAATAAATTTGAAAGAAAATTTGCCACCAAAATTTATCCTTGAAATTCAACTGATAATCATTCTGTGGGCATAGTGGACTCTTTTATCTATGAATTGAACCCTAGCAACAGAAAATTCAAAGATGGAATTAGAATAGGTAATTTACTTAAATAATGACTGCAATATGATTATGCGTTTTTGAAGTTCAATGGGTATTACACGATCGCAATCATCTTTGCAGAGTAATTCTTTTTTGTACAGTTGTTTTAGATGGAGTGGATTTTTTTAGAAATTGCTCAAGTTAAACTTGTAAAGTTAATTCAGAATTTGTTCTTTCTTTTCCAGCCTACATGTACAAATCATGATGATGGAGAGACAAGTGCAATTATTCAGTGCAATGCCTGTGGCAATCTTTGCGCTGATTGTGATAGATTTTTGCACTTGCATCGCAGAACTCGCATGCACCAGCGCCAGGTAATATAGCCTTGCTTTACCCTTGTTTAGCCATTACATCAATGGCTTTTTCAGTTAACAGAGGAACCTCTTTTAATTGGATGATTTTGAACAGTATTGTACTCGCATTTTGTCATAATTAAAATCATGTGAAAGACTGTTTCCTTTTTTCTTATTTCTGATGTTTATTTTTATCATTTACAGACAAGAAGTTTTCAGGGTTTCTGGCGGTCTAGAAAGGCAGGGAATATATGGTCACCTGTAAAAGTAGGGAAAAGCCAGAGAATTCATTGATAATTAGTTTATTAAAGTAAAGATGGATGATATGTCCATCTTCGTTCATTTGAAATTGAGCTGAGCTTTCTGAATCATTTTTTTTTATCATAATGTTTTAAATGTTGATAATTACCCAGAGTCGCTTTGTTTGGCAGGTATGCAAAGAAGAAGAAGAGGCAATAAAAGTGGATCTTCACGAAGGGTGTGGTCGTATCAAGCTGTTCTGGATTTTAGCCTTAGCAGATTCTTGTACGCTGAAGGCAATGGTCGAATTCAGAGAGAGAACACGACTTCAGAGCAAGCTCCCTGGTTTGACGCTTGGAGTTTGTCGGTTTTGCGGAACCACTGGCAACTCTGGACTGTTAGCAATCGGCAACATATGTGCAGACCAAGATTGTCAGGTCGGTGGGAATTGAAGTGATGGGATTTTTTTTACATTCAGAATTCTAAGATAAATTGTTAAGCCGAATCATTATTCTTATATAGTTTGTCATTAGGTATCCTAGATGAGCTCTCGTTTGAATTCAAACCAGCTTTTGTTGTGTTAATCGTAGCAATCATCACAACCTGCCTCATCTGCTAATTTCCAACATTAATTAGAGCTGTACTTGCTGTATTGATGTCAGTCAGTATTGCGAAACTATATACTATGTTTTTTAACTTAAGTAGTCATTAGGTCTGTTGGATCATCGATTTGCGTTTAAATTAAACTTCCTAAGATGATTATAATGGACACTGTTTTTGGCAACCTCCATTCTTATCAATCGAATTGAATTAACTTTCATTAATCAAAGTAAACTTTAAAAAATGTCATTTACTAATTACTAAGAAAAATGTCATTCGAAAAAAATGTTGGGGGGGGGTGTTAGGCACATTTCCGGGTTTCATGATACAGATTAGATTTAAACCTTTTATGGTCCCGGATGATTGATGATGAAAATTCTACACGATTTCAAGCCTTTGGAGGCTCATCCTTTGTGTTCTCATCATTGTATTTTAGTATTTTTATTTGTTACAATTGACATACACATTTTTTCCCCTTAAATCACTCCTAAGGCTGAGCCTCCAGAGGCTTAAAAGAGGTATTGTATAGCATTATTATCATCAATTATATGCAGGACCTTAAAAAAGTGTAAGTTTAATATGAAAGAAATGTATTTTTACATTGCAACTAATATTGATTTAGTTTTTGTATTAAAAATGGATTCTAAATCCAGAGTTTGATTAACTCATCTGATATTTTCGTTTCAGGAACATGCAAAGAACGCCTGCAGTAAGGTGCATCCGTGTGGTCATATGTGTGCTGGCATTGTGGGTGAGATCGATTGTCTGCCCTGTTTGCATGGCTGTGGGCAAGACAATTCCTTGAAACAGGACGCAGATGACATGTGTATGATCTGTTTTACAGAAGCTTTGTCCTGCGCTCCCTCTATCCAAGTAAGAGAGACAATTTTACCCACCATTTTGACTCAGAGTTTCAGCGTCCGCATCTTTCTGAATGTTTATCGATGGCCATGGAATGATACCATCTAACTGACGATTTTGGCGAAAATGAGTTAGCGACATTGCTTCATTCTATACTGTAAAATATACAAGCTGATGATATTGATTTTTTTATACTCCGCATCAGAGAGCTGAATTAACGCTGTAATGTTCAGAAATATTAAACACCTGACTTAAAAATAACAAGAATTATGAAGATTTTCCTCATCCTGTAAAATCGTCAGTTTGAAGATGGGCAGTATTATTCCTCAACCATCAATATTTGTCCCATTAAAAATATGAGATTTTTAATACAGTGAAAGTTCCGTGCAAATGTATGTATTTGACATTTAATATTACGTAAATTTGATTCGATCAAGTCAGGTATCACATCGAGACATTCTTTTATTGTCGTCAGCTCCGTTGATTTTAATTTCTCTTTGAGATATTTATGAACAAGTATTAATTTGTATCAGTTAAAAAATAGACTAGCTGTCTCCTCAAGACAAATATTGGTGGCTTAATTTATTCACTGCCCTTCCCTTTGGAAAAAAAAAGAAGGGTCTCCTAAGAGCAAGGACAAAGGACATTTACTTGAGTGAATTGCTTCATTTCCCCTTGGTGAGGACCTGTTGAGTCTAATTTTCTGGTCCAAAATGCTCCACAAGTCGACCCGTCCTCACTATCGAGGATAACCGCGGATATTCGAGCATGCTCGATAAAAAACGCTCGTTTTTGACCGTTTCTCGGTTCAGGAAGCCTCGTCGCGTCTCGGGACCGCGCGCAATCGATTCTACGCCTCAAACTACGTAGGATTCGACCCTAATCTCGAAATTTTTTTTCCCGTCCAAAATCAAGAAAAATCGACAGGGGTTACATGGACTAAAATTCAGGGGTCAAAATCGAAAGTTCTCCGATCGGGCTGAAATGAAGCTAATCCCCTGTAGAATGAGTCGAGAAGTCCGAATTTCTGGTCCAAAACGCTCCACGAGTCGACCCGTCCTCACTATCGCGGATAACCGCGGATATTCGAGCATGCTCGAAAATTTGCTTTTTTAAGTAATACTTACCGTAGTTCATGCTGTCTTTCACTCAAGAGGACTTGACTTAATCCATGCAAGTTTTCAAGTGAATTTATTGCCTTGATTTTAATTTTCATCCTCAACTTTTTTTTTTAATTTTCAGCTGAGGTGCGGTCACATATTCCATTTGCACTGCTGCAGGAGCCAACTATTGAAAAAATGGGCTGGGCCACGCATAACGTTTTCATTTCAGCAGTGCCCTATTTGCAAAGTAAGTCTGTAAAATAATGCCTAAAACGTGTAAAAACTTATTTAAGCCATTAGAAATCGATCAGATTCTAATATCAAATCATTTTCCCTTTTTTTCAAACATGAATAATTCTCAATTCCTTGAGACCAGTAAGGAGAACTGTGTTTTCACTGCAAAGTTTTGACTATTGAGGAGAGGTAAAAAATAAGAGATCCTAAGGGAGTTATAAATGCGTGATAATTATTTTTGAATTTACATTAATTGAAATCGTCATTCTTACAGGCTCCAATTGAACATCCAGTATTAAATGATTTGCTTATTCCAATACGAAATCTTCTGGAGGATGTGGGCCGCAAAGCACTAATGCGACTTGAGTATGAAGGACTCGATAGAGGACGTCCAGATCCTGCATCATATGCCATTGAGCGATACGCATACTACGTCTGTTTCAAGTGCAATAAGGTGTGTATTCATTCTTAGTTTTATGTCTAGTTTCTTCCCTGTACATGGGTTTAGTGACTTTTTCATAAGTCTTCTGTAAGTAAATATCTCAACCACTATGAGGAAGTTAATGAAAACATGTCAATCAGTCAATCATCTGTAATTGAAAACGGGAGAGAGGCTACATTAAAAAGATTGAAAGTGCTTACTTCGAGGAAGTTGATTGTGTTTTCTACTTTTGGATGCAGTGAGAGTGCTAGCACTATTCTTATAATTTTCCCCCTATAGCTAATTTCCAACTGCTTGATTTTAGGCATATTATGGTGGAGAGGCCCGTTGTGATGCGGAACTTGGAAGAGGTGACTTTGATCCCTCTGAATTAGTTTGCGGCGGCTGCAGTGATGTTTCCCGAGCCCAGATGTGCCCAAAACATGGGACGGACTTTCTTGAGTATAAGTGCCGCTACTGCTGCTCTGTTGCTGTGTTCTTCTGTTTTGGCACAACCCACTTTTGCAATGCGTGCCATGATGATTTTCAGCGAGTCACCAATATCCCTCCATCCGAACTACCAACATGTCCAGCAGGTGGGTGACTTGACCTCATTGAATTAGAAAGCATTTACCATCTATTGCATCAATTATTTGGGTTGGTGATGAATTAAAATTTTCTTATAAAAGACGAGTTTTATAATGCTGCCAGAATACATTGTGATTTTTCACTGTGTTATTTTACTGTTTTAAAGTGTTTCACTTTATGTAAAGAACAAACTGTTGTTAAAGGGAAATGTGAGCCATAATTAAGTATCATAAAAACTTTGATCACCATAAAATGCTTTAAATGTTTTTGGTTCAGAGGCAAGATAGAGTTTGTTGCTTCATTATCTAAGCAGACGTAATATTAATCTCATTTTATACTTTCAGGTCCTAAAGCAAGGCAATTAGATGGAGAAGACTGCCCTTTACATATCAGGCATCCGCCAACTGGAGTTGAATTTGCTCTTGGATGTGGCGTCTGTCGCAATGCTCACACATTCTAAGATTACAATAAATTTGTTATTCATTTTATATTTTTGAAAAGATAACTGTTTTGTATAAAAATGATCGCTTTAAATTTTTATTTTCCTGTATAAATTGTATGGTTACATTGTAAATAGACAAGATGAAAGAATTGTTTCTTCATTAAAAGGTAACTCTAATACGTTTGTTGCAGCTCAAGTAAAGGCTTATTCAGCACATTACTCAAGTAGATGAAATAATTCGAGCTGATTTGTTACTTTGTATCATAAAATATTTTTCTAAAATTAGATGAGTGCGAAAATTACTTACCTCTTTCCTTTCATCACAATATTAGGAAAACCAAAACTATTATAATGGCACAGAAATGCATTGTTTCTGATTGCTAGTAAGTAGGTGTGGGCGTAAAAAAGAAAAACTTGAAGTAAAAAAGTAAACAAATCTTTTGAGTTGAGGACCTGACTTGAAAAAGCTAAAGGAATTAATTAATAATTAATTAATTTTTAATTTTCATAAATCTTTCCTAATCTGTAAAGGAGTTAGGTGTCAATTATTCAGACACAAAACTCACAGAGTAAGTTTTGAATTTGTGGCTCATTCTTTTCATTGGGGCAAAATTAAAGAAAGAAAAAGTCAATCTAGTATTAAGTGGAAAACAGACTGGAAGATTTTTAAGATCATGAAGATGACTTTCAGATTAACACTTTTGAACACTCACAAGGAAGCATTTTCCTGCAACCAAAAAATTTTGGTGGCAAAAAAACCCTCTTCCTGGTCCCCCTTTAAGTATGAGGTGAGAGGACGGCGCTTGAAAAAAATTGAACTCAAATATTTCGCAGTATGTACATTTTTTAGTGACACGAAAATACATTTTATTAACTTAATACTCTACAATGAATTATCAAATAAACACTAGAGAGATGATAGGACTGTACAAGCGGGTAACAAGAAATCATTTGTTAAAATGTTTGCAAATTATTCTATCATGCTCTAGAATTAGGTAGGTTTCCGAAAATTATCATACAATTGTACAACTGTCTATATAAAAAACTAATCAAACTTCACTGAAAAAAAGAAGAAAAGAAAGCCCTTTCATTATGCAAGTACATTGCAGAAAATAATAGGGCTTGCCAGATTTTTGGAGGTAAACCTGCACCTGCAGTCAATCCTAGCCATTTATCCATTTCAGTGCATAGTTAACTTGCATTAAATCACCTCATAACATTCATGATAGATTTTGATTATAACAGATTTTCTGTCCATTTTTATTTTGCTAATCATTAAAATAAGGAGGCAGCCATTATTCGTCTGTAAATTTTGCACCATGTCTACAAAAACCAAAAAATGAAGAAAACTTTCATTAATTTTTTGGATTCTAACATTTTATTGCCTAGGGACATGTGGTACATGTTCTTTAAAATATTAGAAGTTTAGTCACCCGACTTGTAAAAAAAAAAATTCAACATTGAGTATGTAGGGCACTAGATGGAGGATGGGCTCAACTTTGGCAGGAGCCGATTTATCGGATACATTAGCAAATTTTGGACCACTTTGAACAGTAAATCTGACCATAGACCATCCATTCAATCCATTCTACCAGTTTCTAATGCAGTGCATAGTAAACATGGTATTTCAAATGTAAGAAAAGTTATATCTACACCCTACCCAATCCTCTCACATGTTGAGGAGGCATGAAAAGATTAATTTTGCAATAGGAGGAGGACACGTGACTACCTAGGGGGAGAAAATATTAGTTCAAGAAAAACTGTGAGAAGAGAGTGACACACAGGTGCACAAACTTGTTTCATCCAAACCTTGCTTATAAATTTTTTAGAAACTATCAGAGGAATTGAGATTAACTTGGGTACATAATAACATTGAAATCGAGGGGGGAAAATAAAAGTAAGAGAAGAAATTATTGAGGGAGTTCAAGAGAATATTATGGCCGTAGAAGTTAATGGCATCTTGGTGATCATTTTCTTTATAAAGCTGAAAAAAATCTGACAACNAAATTGAAAAAAGTCTGACAAAAATTCTTATAGTTATTGAATTGCTTCCTCTATTGCTCCAAAGAAAAATTCCTGCTATGACTTCAAAAACAAAACAAAAATGTTCAAACACATTGGAACCCACGATCAGATACGTGTATATACCTATCTTATTAATTTCTTGAATGAGCATGTTAAAGAAAATTCTCTCCACTCTCTTTCAGTACAAAAAAGGCTTCTGTCACCCATGTTTAGCAATAATAAACCATGAAAAATAAAAACATGTTGGACTTAACAACTGGGGGGACAATATCAAAGAGTTAATTTGATTCCAGACTGCACCAACTTAGCGGCCTTGCGGGGTCTCTTGTTCCATATAGCGATTACATTACTAAGTAGGTGTATTTTCTTTGAAGTAACAGTGGGAACAAGTTTCAGAAAAGTTGTTCCTTGTAATCCTTTTCACGATCGAAGAGCAACCATTAAGAGCGCAGTCGAGACAAGTAAGTTCAAAAACTTCGTAACAATTGACCATAAAATTTAAAACCTGCTGCGGTACATTACAATTCTAGCAGAATGTCACAGAACAAAATGTTACAACAATGCCACAATGTGGTGCAAAAAAAGCCCGCCCATTAAATAATCCGTAACACTCAAACAAAATAAGAATATTCCTTAAGAAACTTTTTGTGACCAATGATGCAGATCATAAATGCTCCTTGCTGCTGAAGTTGACATTTTTAGCTGTCTACGGACCAAGTGACATTTAAAGGTGGGGCGAATTCTTTCAGTGTATTAAAATCTGTATCATACAACATAACAAGACTTATTTGATATGTTTAAGGTTGAAATTTGATTCTGTCACTTGGTAACCACTTTAATCTGGTCAAACCTTACTGCCTCAGCAAGGGTTCCCAAGTTAAATGTACTTCCTATTATCCCATTTTGTGATTTTAAACTTCGCACCTTAAATGCAAAAGGGGCTCATTTTAAAGTACACACCTTGCATCAGGGGAGCAATTTAATAGGCTGGTTTTTTAGCTGATTTTTGTCATGCACTGAAGCCGACATAACAAGTGTACAGGATTTATAGTCTTTTAAATAGCAAAAACGAAAATTAGCTTTTATGGTTTTTTTTAAAGGAGCTTAGGTATAAAAGCTTAAGGTGCACTGATGTCATATGATGGGGGGAGGGGGGGGGGAAATTAACTACTCACACCGCTTCAGTGCAGCCACAGCAGCATGCGTAGAGCAGAAGGACTAGAGTGATAACCTGCGAGCAGTTATTCCTTCCTAGATTTAGCGTGGCCGAATGAACTTACCAAGATGGGTGGGAAAAATAAAGATAAGGAAAAACTACCAGTCGATTGACCAGTTAGAGGAACTTATTAGATCTTTCCTATTGTGGAACCGCAAAGTTCTATGGTGAAGAAGGTTTCCCGAGTTGGCCGATTTTGCATAGTGCATTCTTTCTCGATATTGTATAAATGGACAAAAAAACGGGGCCGGGCCATTTTCACAAATTAGCAGGGTTTTCAACTTATTGAGGTGTAACTGTTCTTACTATAAATGACCTATCAAAGTCTAGTTCTTTAGATTTTGATACAGCCAAGTCGAAAGAATGTCCATTATAGAATGTGATCTCTTCTATACTAATTTTAACTCAAATTACTGAGACCTTTGGGAAAATTTGAGCATAGAAAAGAAATGGTCAAAATAAATCAGGAAAAGTATAATATGAACTGTAGAGACCTCTTAATGTTGAAAAAAATATCAAGGAAAATTTTCAAAAGAGACCTATTTGAAAGGAAATGTCATTTACAGAATCCAAGCTGAAAAATTAAGATGAACACTTGTTCAATAAAACAAATGAGAAATTCATCTCTGGTGCATAAATCCTAAGCTTGCATTACAAAGTTTGGAGAAAAATTAAATTAGCAACTCAACTAGTTACAATCGTAACCATTGTCTCAAAAATTGGATGCCTTTATTTTATCTTTGAAAGAAAAATAGCAAACACTTTTATCATTAGTTCTGATCTCTTGACCACTGTAGTGGGGATTTTTTTTTACAGTTACAAAGCTGCCGTGAAATTTCTATGATACCTTGAAAAATAATGATGTCATTCTGAATATTCTAACGTTAAGTAATTCCAGACGAAAAAAAATAATTTGATTTTGATTTTTGACCCACAATTTATTGGTGTCTACTGTTACGAAGAGATCTGATCAGGAACTGTTGACCTACTCCTTGAAAAAATTTGTTTTGAATCTTTGTAAAGGTTTCAAAAACATGCAAGAGATTTATAAAAGCTGCTAATTTGAAACATTACTCAGAAAATGTATCATGAAAGACACATGGTTAAAAAAAGAGTAGGCTTACAACTTGTTGAAGTTGGTGGACAAAAAATACGACATAGAGGAGAGAACCAGTGGGCTGGGTGGTTAGAGGTGTTGTCTGCTAAGTTGGCAATTGTTTACTTTCCATTTGCGAGCAAATTTATCATCCAATAGCCATAGAGGATTGACCACGGGTAACATCGCTCCCATGCACAGAGACATAAATCGGTCTAATGTGCACAACAGTCATATGTAGACAACTGCCAACTCAGCTGACGACACCTCTGGATAGAATATGAAAGAGAAAAACAAAAAATAAAAATCTACATCATGATAAGTCAAACGTAACAATGAGTGAGTTGTTTTTAAAGTAAGCAATATGCGTGCACATTGAGTACTAGAGAATTTGCCAGACCACCGACCCAACAGAGAATACTTAGTCACTTAAAAAACTGAAAATAAGCAGTCCTGACCCCTGTCAACATAAATTCCAGTTTCCATGCAGACTTAAGGCATGATGCTGGTCACTTAACAACATTATTTGCCCAATATATTTTTCCAGTTGTTGCGAAGGAAGCAAAATTGACGCAAACTCCACAGAGATAATTTTTTGATTACTTTCATTAAATTACTCAAGGGTAATGATTTGGATTTCCATCAGTTACCTATGAGAAAAAGCAATGATTCCAATAGATTTTACCAGTGTTGATGCGTTGCCGGTGTCATCAGTGAAAATTTCTTTGAAAGGGTGGAAGCAGATCTCAAATCCTGAAATGAAATTATTCATTAAAATTAGGATGCGAAGAAAATATACACTGAGTCACTAGGTGCAAGCAAGCAAAAAGAAAAAAAAGGGGCAAAAGTAATTAGGGAGAGAGAGATTTCTAAGAGGACAGGTATTTCTTTATCTTGAGAAAAATAAACTAGTGATAACCACTTAGATTAGATTCTCAACCCCTCCCCTCCTTCATAAAAATGAAAATTGTTCTTGGAACCAAGGAGCTCATGCTCCTTGGTTCCAAGAGCACCGTTAACCAATTTTTTTTTTTTTTTTTCTGCATTACATACAGGTTCATCAACATCATCTTCGGCCCTTCGGCAATGTAATACACTGCCGAGGCGCATACAATGATTCCTTTCACCCTGCATTCATCAATCAGTAATACAGACATTTTATTGGCTACTCGACTTAAAACACGGATGAAGCTGATGGGAAAGAAACCATGGTAAGCTCCACCGCAGTGGATGACATCATGCCCTAGGTTTTTTGAACAGCGATACGTCCGTTAACAATAGATGTAGAAACTTTGTGCTTGGACTGGCCTTTTCATTTTTTGCTGATCTATGAACCAAAATAATCAAAACACGATTCTGGGATTAGTGTTACTGACCCATCGATTACTATGAGTGATATTTTCTTGTTACATGATAATATATCCATAGCTAGAGTGCAAAATGACGCGTTTCTGTTAGCGACGTTACAGACATCCTATCGTACGTCCTTAGTTTTTTCTTTCGAAAACTAGTTGACATAATGGAGATGTTGCATGTGTGAGGAATTAGTGATTTGACTATCGATTCATATGTAAAAGTTAGCGAGAAACACGATGGTGCCACTGATTTTCTCTGAAATAACTCCCAAGCTCAAAAAAAGCTCTCAAGTTGAGGCTAACATGGAGGGGATATCCCACGCTATCCTGAGAGTCTACCTCTACATCAAGACTAACTCTCCATGCAAAGATAGGGAGCAAATACATTGACAGGGCTGCCACTTTATTTGGAGACTCTAAAACTGAAAACACGGCATCTCTGCTAATGTATTTGCTACCTATCTTTGCATGGAGAGTTTTTCTTGATGTAGAGGTGGACTCTCAGGATAGCGTGGGATATCCCCTCCATTTTGGCCTCAACTTGAGAACTTTTTTTGAGCTTGGGAGTTGATTTCAGAGAAAACCAGTGCCACTATTGTGTTTCTCGCGAACTTTTACACAAGAATCAATGGTCAAATCGCAAATTCCTCACACATGCAAAATCTCCATTTCATGAAAACTGCCTGGTTTGATCTTCTCTAGTAAAAAAATATTCTGTGTAAATTTCAAGCTATAATGTAGACTTGTTTATCTTCGAAAAAATAAAGTTAGAGCGGAAATTTTGAAACACTGCAATGGAGATACATAGTTTCACATTTTGGTCATCAATATTAAATTGATTGATATATATTATTAGTGGCCTTTAAGATTTTTAATGAACGAAATACTCCTTCTTAACACAAAGGTCAGAAGCAACATGCATCATATTGGTCATATTGGTCGTATTGCATCACTTCCGAGCATCAAGACATGGATAAACCAACAGGCAGAAATGTAACTCACTTTTATTAGAACTGAAAACCACCCATTGGAAGGCTCTGACCAGTATTGAAGGAGAACTGTCCTCCGTCACCACCTTGTCCTGGTGTGATTGACGGAGCAACTCTTGCATCCTCCTCTTCTGAACTGAAATACTTCTCGATGATGTCAAACGCTTTCTGGTAGATCTCCACATTTTCGTGCGACTGCAGATACTCAATCTTATCCAGACCTGCAACCAGAGTTGAATTTGAATTAGTTACCTTGTCTTCCTGAAACTTAACTTTTAATGTGCTTACAGTAGAGATATCACTTTTTTAATGTCTTTGGTTTGTCTGCCAAGTTGAATTTTTCCAACGGTGATAGAAATATAAGGGATGCAAAAAGTTCCGGAATGCTGAATGCTTCTTACAATCCGGCGGTTGTGCATTATAGCAAAATTTTTCATTATGCTCACTTTTTAAAGAATTGAAATTGAAAGTAACGATCGTTATCACCTTTTGAGACTGCCATAGAAAATTGACAATCAAGTCATTTATATAAGCGATCAGTTCAATTCAATTCATCCAATTTGGCAAGTAAAACTTGTTGAATGCCACATAGTCTGGATTTAGCTTAGCACTGAAAAATGACTATCAACCCTGAAAAGAAAAATTCATAGTTTAGGCCTGAATGCAAATAACAGGAAACCAAATTTGATGGCTGAACTCACCATTGCATTCTTCTATGATATCAGCATACATATTAACAGTTCCAGTCTTTTTGGCATCTTGCTCTCCAAACTTGAGGATATTTTCTAGGCCTTTCAAAGCAACATTGATTATCTTCAGATCCATGACAGTGAGAAGATCGCATAGGGGCGGAATGCAGTTCTGTTTGACCAGGTAGCGGATCTGCTCTGGCGTTCCACCTGTTGTTGTGTTGAGAACAGCCCAAGCGGCTTCTTTTCGCGTCTTGAACTCTGCTTTGGCCAAAATTTCAATAAGCAGGGGAAAGATATTTGCATCAATGACAGCCTGGAAAATTAAAGGAACAATATAAACTGAGCGAGGAAGAAACTATACAACAAGATCTATCATGTTCAAAGACAATGGAAATATTACCTCTACTGTCTCTTGAGAGGGATGGATGCACCTTAACAGCAGTTTTCTAGTATTAATGAAATTTTGGGTCATTTGACATCTTCCAGTAGAGACCCAAGTTACTCAAGAGACACTTTTGTCAAATCCACTTAATTCAACTTCAATTGCTCAATTATTTATTTATTTTTCCAATGAATTTGTGCAGTCAGAATTAAAGTAAAAAATTCGTAATTAAACGCGGCAAATTGCTCATTAGGTTGCTGAACAGTCCAGAGTGGTAAAAGAACTGAAATATAGAAATTCCCTGACCTTTCTAGAAAATTCCCTAACTTTCGAAGAAAAAAAAATTGATCAACTCAGTGTGGTCTCCTCTACAAATAGAAAAATGCTCTTACATTAGGCACTGTTCCCTGATAATTCCCCAACATTCCGGGTTTTTTGAAATCCTCTGACTTTTTCAGGTTTTTGAACAGGTCCCAGCAGAGTGTTGTTAGTAGGGCTGTGCAAGCCTGGTTTTTTCGATTCAAGCCGAGTTCGAGTATTTTTTCACTGTTTCGAGCCGGGTTCAAGCTTTTTCCAGCTTTGAAAATGACCCTTGGGCCTAGTCTAGCTGGAGTCAAGTTCGAGTAATTTTGAGTTTTAGCTTGTAGTTTTACAAGAAAAAATGTTGGCAAAACTAAAAATAACGATAAAATGATTGAAATATTTGGGAGTTGGACTCTTTTGGCGTTTCTGGCTTACAAAAGTTCAAAATACTCGAAAAAACTCGTTTTAGAGCACTCGAGCCGAGTTTGTGTACTCGTTCGAATCTAAATTAACTTACGAGCCGAGTCGAGTACTCGAAACTCGACTCAGCTCAAAATTCGAGAACTCGCACCTAGCCCTAATTGTCAAACTACTACTGAATGACTCATTACCTGTCCTGCATGACTAGTAGTGCTCAGAAATTCACGAAACTCCAAGGATTACCAAGTCGCTGGGCATTTTACCAAGTTCTTGTTTTCACATCATTTAACTGCGATCAATGATGCCTTTGCACAAAAAATTAACTTTTGTGATGTCATTGTCCCATTTTCAACTTTGCAGATGTTAAGTCTAGCAATGCATCAAAGCAAATGCCTACTTCTGCTTTTGTATCTCAAGCAGTAAATGTTGCAGACTACTAGTCAGATTCCGATTTTATTTTAAAAGTTTTTTAGACATAACGAAGGGCATTTATTTAATTTATTTGAAATGTACCTAATTACAAACCTGTATCTGATGTTTGTTGCCTGCAGTAATATTGCTAATGGTCCAACATGCCTCTTTGCGAATGGAGTCTTTCGGTGATGAGAGAAGGTGGTAGAGACAAGGTAAGACAGATGAGTTTAAAACCACCTGCGTTTGGACATCATCTCCAGTGACAATATTGCCAACCGCTCGTAAAGCGGCAGATACAACCTTCTGCTGCGTATGCATCAGCAACTCTACCAATCTCCGACAAACGCCTGCATCAATGACAGCCTGAAATTCAATGGAAATGCATTATTTCTTGGTGATCCTGATTATCACTAGTCATTATTTTTGGCTAAAATCTTCCTAAACTTCATTTTTAAAAATTCTAGTGAAAGTAGGGATAAAATTACAATCAAAGAAGGCTACATAAAAATTTGAGAAATCAGAATGTTTTAATCAGAGCAAAAGGAACTGATTGCTCTGCTACCCAAAAAAAAAGATTCCTTTAAGAGGAGTTTATAAGTACATTCTTTGCTTGTCTTGAGATTAATGCTGAATCACAGGGAAAATATAATAAAACAAGAGCTAATTTGGAATCTTGAACTGGAAAAATTCAATATGTTAGTACAAATTCTTAAAAGCAAATTACATAACTTACCTGAATTTTATCATTTGGAGCATCACTGAGATACGAAAGTGTCCAGCAAGCGTCTGAAAGGACCTCAACATCATGATGAAACAATAGTCGCGCTAGGACATTCAAGCAGGGCGATACTTTACTGAACTCGGGAGGAGGATTCTTCCCTCGGCATAAATTTGATAGTGCCCAAACTAAATTACGTACCATTGATGTGCGTTTCATGATTGATAAAAGGCTGCAACAAACACAAATTTCTTAATTAGACAGAAACTGGGCTTTTTACATTATTTCTGTACAAAGACCAGTAAAATCCACTGAAGAATTGAACAAAAAGTTTTTTAGGTATCAACGGCTTAGGTTCAAAAAAAGCTTATCTCTGGTAGCAACATTGCAAATCTCTGCCAAGTCTTATTTTTCTTCAGCTTTAGGGTGAATGTCCTTTGTTCAAGATCATTCACAGAAAATTGCAAGGAGAAATTTAGGTTATTTTCCTTTTAGAAAAATAAAACATAGTCAGAGACAGAGACAAGAGATCCTCCACTGGCCTCTTGGCGACAGGTGGAAGCTTTTACTTTCGGGGATTCAAAACTTCCATATGGACAATTATAGGGGAGCAACACTTATCACTCTATTTTCGGCTGTTGACCTACCTACATGGTGGATGATGAGCCTCGGGTGACGTCATGAGCCAAACAAGTTTCCCAAACTGCGGCTTGTTTTGGTTTGTTTGCAAAACGAAACTGTTAGTAGGTAAGTCAACAGTTTTATGTTGATGTCCCGAAAGTAAAAGCTTCCACAATAGCCGAAATACGAGTGGAGGGTCTCTTGTCTCTGGTCAGAGATCCTTCATTCTTACGAAAAAGATGGCTTCAATTTTAAGAATCAACATTTGCCACCCCACATGTTAATGTAAAAGATAATTTACAGATTTTAAAAGTTGCATAGGTGTTCAAAGCTATGCATAAGTAACCATATTTATGCTAAATGGAAACAATGTGAAAATGAGCAAAATTAAAAAGAACTATAAGGCGCGCAAATCCTACATCCAGGTACTAAGAATTTCCATTTAAGCCGGAAAAAATTCAACAAAAGTTAAATATTTTTATGGAAGCAAACTAAATGCTCAAAATTTAACAGATAGCAGGAGGGATGATTATTTGAAACTGAAATAGAAGTTACAAAATTTCTGGACATTTCTCTATTGAGGAGAGGATGAAAATGTTCAATGTTAATTAAAAACGACTCCAGATATATTTATTCTTCTTAAAATAGCAAACTTGAATTTGAAAAAACCCTTCTCATCCATTTCGTTTTACGGTAAAAAATTCCTGTTTCACTTCAACTACTAGCTGAAAATCTTAGTCTTCTTGCTGACTTGTACTCATCTGTCCTTTATGTCACTGACTACTGTTTACAAAATACAAATTCTGGAACGTTATGATCCAGCTCTAAAAGCACTGGACATTAACTTGGGGCGACTTACTGAAGCAAAGGGTCTAAAATTCCACAATCTAAGACATAATCACGGCAAGTAGGGGAGTCCCCAGCGATATTTCCCAAAGCCCAGACAGCCTGCTCCTGAACATCTTCATGTTCTGAGGCCAACAATCGTATAAATACAGGCACAGCACCAGCTTCTATTACTTTCTGTGTTTGTTCCGATGTTCCTGATGCAATGTTGGTCAGTGCCCATGCTGCTTCAAACTGAAAAACAACAACGTTAAATCTAAAACTGGAACATCAAGAGGTCAAATGATCTCGAAATAATATTTCTTCTCCTTAATTGCAAAATACACATCAGTTTCCCAGAGTCAAAACGTAATTACTTCTATTTCAGTCGAATATTCTGAGATATCAGGGAAAAACCGTGTGGTCTCATTGATTCCAATGTAAATAGCAATTTTTGAAATTCTACAACTCAAAACTGGCGTAAGTAAGGTAGAGCTACCAAATTTTTATCACACATGGAACCATTATTGGAGTTTTCCAAAATTACACTAACTCAGTTTTTTCAAAAATGTGAGTTAGGTACTTTTTGGCTTTGGGGTACTGATATGAATGCTAATATAGTCAAATGTGCCAATAAATAGTTTTGATGATGGCGAAATCTTTCCCAAGGATATTTCATTATAAGGAAAGCAGAGGGCTGAGTTTAGACTTATTGTTAGCCCTTTCCCTAACATGAGCTCCTTTCATTGTTTTATTATAGAAGAAAACGTCAAAAAAAGCTCAAATTTCCGAACGAGCTAATAAAAAGATTCTTTCAAGTTTTTTTCCCCTTTCTTTTCTTATCTTGCATGAAATGCACACAGTAACCATTGCAGATATCACTAAAAAACCTTGATCTTGCATACCAGAAGTAGACAGATAAACTGATTTTCTGTCCTCAAAGAAAATTAAAACAGCAAATGGTTAAATGGTGGGATTTAAAAAGAACAATTTCACCAGGAGCTATTAACAAAATGTGCCTGAAAGTCAGGCTTCAGTCCCTAAAAAATTCCAGTACTGGCCAGAGAAGGGGCGTGGTGCCTAAATAAACCAGACACAACTCACTGTAAATTCTTGAAGCAACAGTAGCAGCTTGGTCATTGACTTATAACACAATCTAGACCGCGCACTAGGCCCGACTTCAGGCGGGAGAGGTAAGACAGTTAGGGGAGTAAATCAGGGTAAAGACGCGCCTTCAGCTTAGTTGATACAGCCGGATATACGAAGCGTGCCAGGCAATGGCACAGGCAAGACTGAAATTTCCATTGTCTCGGCACATATTGCAATCCAGGTTGCCTATCGTCTCGCCAAAATTTCCTAATGCGCGGTCTAGATTGTATTATACGTCAATGAGCTTGGTACAACATGCGCAAATATGCAAAAAAAATTAGGCTTACTGGCCAAGATGGCTCTTAACTACACTGGGGTTGGAACACTGTTAACATGGCGATGAATTATAAAGTAAAATTTTATAAAACATAGCTAAAAAAACGAAGTTTACCTGTAAAGTGGGATTATTAGTGTCTGTAAGAAATTCAACAAATCTATGCAAAATTTTGGCTTCGATAACTTCCTCAATTGGAGGATTAGGTTCACGAGACAGCAGCTTGCGAAATCTTTCCGTTGCTTGCAACTGATCGTTTGTAAGAGGACTATATAAGGCTTCAATCATGTCAGGAGTGATGACAGGCTTCTTTGGACCATCCTAGAATTTGAGAAAAAATAAAACAAAGTTTTTAAAGGAAAACTATTGTAAAATATGAAAAATAGTAACTATAGTGTATCTGCTGTTGCAAACGTCAATGAGATGGATTTTTGTTCACTTTTCTCTTGCCATAATGACTAAATTTAATGCAACTCAACTGTAAGCACAGTTGCTTTCCAACTATAAAAAGCGTTTTAAAAATGGGATGGTATATAATGATAATACATATGTATTAGCATCTACAGGCTTCATTCATCGTCATTCCTTGGCCAGCTCCTTCCTTCAGGAAAGTAGGCTCTAAATGGTTTACATTATGAAAGAGGGAAGACCTCAACATGGCATCATAAAAAGAACAATTTTTACAAGCTTCTGGTACAATCAAGTGTATGATTTCAGAGACGGATACTTGCAAGGGATTATGCTGCTTTAGGTACCATTGCAAACAATGAAGAACACAAGGGAAAAAATTAAATGATTTTTACGAAATTTAAGATATTGGCAACAGCAATTGCTTCCCTTCAGCATTTCTTAGTTTTTGCAGAGACAAATCATATACATATAAAGTGCTAGCTACCATGGCTTTGGAAAGATAGAAAACTTGGGCTGTTGCTGGCTAAAAAGTTTAGAAAGCTTCATACATAAATACGTGGTGATCTGATTGGCTGAACTGGCAACGACTATCAGGAGAAAATTAATTGACTTGTCATGATGGAATTGGACCTTGTAAAAAGTCAACAGATGACAGGAAAATATTGATTGTGAAGTGCCCTTAATGTCTCCTGCAATGGAATGACCTACTACTCTTCAACCTTTTCCTTCCGTTCCATCTATATCAAATACCTCTGGCGAACATTAAAATAGTACGATGTAACCTTGCGAGGCTAGTGGTTAACTCCTCTAAGAAATAAAAACCATTGTTCCTCAAAATGTAGAATTTAGTTGGCAGATTAAAATATCTCATACACTTGTTGGCAGGCGATGAACTTACACTTAAATCGTCATCAATGGGCTGCAATAAATTGGCATTGCGCTTTTTGAAGAGTTGCTGTTCCCGCTTTTGCTTCCGCAACTGAACTCCCTCTTCTTCTCTCCTGCGCCGTAGTTCTGTTGAGTCAAGGCCTGCATTTTTGTACCTGTGCTTGTGAGTACCTCCAGACATCTGTAAAAGAATAAGCATAAGCATATTTGGATCAGTCAAAGATAGATGGGGTTATGAGCGTTTTTGTAGAGGCAATCAGGTTTAGCTTGGTATATTTTTACTTACACTTTGGGCTTCAGTGTTTTCTACCGCATCTTGTTACTCAGTCTATGATGTCAAACAGGATATATAAATAAAATATCAGTTGACAATTTTTTGCAGTCAAGAACAATGTCTGTTTAACATTTGGAATAGCCTCATGATAAAACTATAAACTCATTGCTTGACTGATGAAGCTTCAAGCTTTGGTCAGACTATAACGGATATCTATAACAGACTTTCGCCAAACCTAGACTGTGATAATCAACTCTTGGAGGTGGTTACTCACACTTTCCAACTCATATTGACGTAGTCTAGTTGCCCTAAACGAATTGGCCTGATTTAATTACTTCGATACCACTGAATATTAAATCTGCTCATTTTTCTACATGATGGATCCATATACAAGTGTATGTACAGGAATACATGATAAGGATTAGATACTACAAAGCAGCAGAAATATTTATTTACGTATATAAGACGATGACAAGACATTACTGGTGTCAATTAAGCGGTTCATGTTGAGTGCACACCCCTTACCTACTCACGAAATTTACAACTTAGTGACCTTAAATTAAATCAATGTTCCTGTACAGAGTTGGATAAAACCTTGAGTGAAATTGTATAAATGCTCCAAAGGTGAATCAGACGGTGAGTTAATTACACACTTGCGCCATCAGGTCGTGAGTGGTGAAAATTTGACCAGCTGCTACAATTGGTAATGAACATGTTTGGCATAAAAGTTTTCTACATCCAAGCAACGAAAGTAGGGAGAAAATAAAGAACATAATGGATGAAACTAGCTTTCTGATAAGTAGGTCTTCTCAAAAGGAGGGTCCAAGATTTGACCAAAGTCAATTTATTGGTCAAGGATTTCATACTCCTTATATGTAGATAGGTGCCTTTCAGCGCTGAAATCTCAAATGAATACACTTCTACGTGAAGTGAAACGTGGAGGCTAAATGAATTCGAACGCTCAGAAAAGGTTGAATGATCAGCGAGAAAAATTATGCTCACGTTAGGAAAAAAACAGGAGGCGAAAGTACATAACCTCACTTATGGGGGATGTGACGATTGATCGAAACTACAGGCAAAGAAGGTTGATTTTAATAAACTGGGAATCAAAATTGTAAAAGTTGATTTTACCTTGAAGAGTTGAACAAAAGGTAAAGCTTCTTTTAGAGGTGCAAGAATTTGAAGGTGTGATTATTAGAACACATGAACGGCACGCACTTGGTAACTAATGTGGGCACTCATTAAGCCGAGATTGGGCGATGGAGTAAAAGGACAAAGGCAAGACGAATTCTTACGTTTAAAAGAGATGAAAGCACTCAGCTTAAAAACGAATTGAAAGGCAAATAATCAATTCAATCACTTATCCGCGTTCGCAACTAATGTGCACAAAAATTTGCGAAATTTCTCAGGATGAAATCGACGATTATTTATACTGCACTCATGCATCACACATCACTGCTGAACGCTGAACATGCGAGTGTTGACTTCGTTGTTCAAAAGAAGCGCGTCTTTTCAAAATTATCATGCGAGTTTCGTTAGCGTATTCTGGTCTAAAAAAACGTAATATAGATGCTTTTAAATTTTAATTAAGTGTTTGAATTGAGAAAAAATTTGTTGCTAGAAACCCAAAAACAGCCAAAAGCTACCCTCTGTTTAAAAATCAAATAATATTTAAAGGGAGCCCAAAATTCTAACATGAAAATCACCTCTGATTCTGAAAAGTTTATGCTAGACAATTTCAATAGATGGTTATTCTTGTATTGCAACAAAATTCTTGAGTAATTGATAAGGGAAAAAATGTATTTTGATATGAAAGTTAATGGATATCATACTTGGATTTTCTTCTATGAAATTTTTAAGTTCTGGAATTTCATAGGATGTATCAAAAATAAAGATGATTCCAGCCAACCTTAATTCATGAACAAGTCTTTAAATCGTTTTCACAAAGGCATTAACTCTTTAAAAGCATTATCAACACAGAAAAAAATCAAAGCTGATAAATGGACCTGAATGATTTCCGTTTAACCCAATTCAAATAATGGCAGTCCTTTTTGATACTCTCATTTTAACTTCAGGCTTGTGGTTTCACTTAGAGGCTTGTATACTTGTGGCTATATAACAGTGGTCTTTCTGCTGAGCAGAATATATCGACGGCATAAGTCCACAATCACATATTTCGTTAGCAGTGTCTAAAAATCTCCGCCTCTATGTTATTTTTTCAAAGGAGAACAAACTGATATCATTCCTTGAAGTTTACGCAAAATTTTCTTCCCACAGAGAAGAAAAATCACGGCAGTTTTAAAAGATTGCCGTTGAGTAGGTAGTTTTCCGTTTAAAAAATAAAGTATGATAGGAAGTCTGCGACATCGGAAACCGAATTATGTGATTGCCGACTTACACCGTTGATATGACTCTTCTCACTGTATGTTGGCTCTCAGACTAAGAGAGTGAAGTCTTGCACAAAGGTATCAAAGAAAAATGCTGTTGGCCACTGACAGGAGTAGAAAATGGATTTTGACTTAGAAAATATAACTATTGACCTTTGATGAGTTGACTTTAGCATGTTTCATTAATTTCTCGTCTTTTGCTCCGCTAACTCAGCACATTTAGGCGCTTAGCAACTCCTTATCAATTCCCTTATAAATTCTCCGATCCCAGGGAACTCCATTTAGTATCACAATAGCTTTCTTTCCTTGCAAATTATGTTCTCTGGTGGCCCGGTCAAAATTTCCAGCTTGAGCTAGCCAAACTTTTATGTCTGTATACTCTTCACATCCTTCGATGTTCCGGCCATACTCTAATTCAAAAAGTAAGATGTAAACCTGTTAAAGGTGGGGATGAATGCAAAAGGTTAGGTACAGATTCAAGTGAACTTTTGATAGAACTTTTATTGAAAACAAAACTGAAAATTAAATTACAAATAAATATTACCATTATCTTCACAACTTTACAAGGTGTAGGAATAAGAATACACCGTAGAATAAACATATGATCCATAACGAACTAAAAACAGGATTTACACTACAGAACAAAAGCACTAAGTAAAACAAGTAGGAAAAATTTTCTATGAGTGATTCTGGTCGTTTTTTTTGTTTGTTTTTTTAGAGAAGTAGGTTGATAACAAAAACAAAAAAATCTAGGACAAATAAATCTGACATCATTGTCAGTATTTCTCCATGAGTGATAACAGCATTTCCGAAATTAAAAATTTAATGTTCAGTTGGGTATGCAGTGGTATTTCTGAACAACGAACAATGCCAGCAAACAAAGGATTCCCATGTTCATGACACGAAAAACAATCATTCTCTTCTTGAGGTACAAAGTGAAACCTACTGACTTTGTATACTGGACAGAGAACGATAGTCAATTCCTTACGTAAAAAAATCATCTCTGGACATCAGCGTTTTTCATTAGGAAAGAAAAAGAAAAAAAAGGAAAAGATTAAATTTAATGAAGTAATTAAATATTCTTTCACAGTTTGCAGCTATCCATTTCATGAAACTACCTTTCTTGAATCAGATTTCTGTCTTGAAACTGGAATGTTTAAATCTTTTCCTCCATAGAAGACCTCCCACTAACCTATGGCTTACAGCTATGGTTGTGGGTCTGTCCCTGAGGACTTAAATTAATTGCACTTTCTACTTGTATGTTTCTCGTATCACTGAGATTTTTGATCAGATTTTTATGGAATACATAAGATGTTTATAAGCCCTGCAAATCAATAGAGAGGATTGATTGGGCAGAATAAGATCTACAGCACTTTAATCCATGTTTCCGAACCAAAATTTTACCAACAGCACAGTAAACATATTGAAAATCCTCCCCTCAACCCTTCAAAAAAAAACTCTATTAAAGTGGTATTCTCCTTGTTGACAATAAAACCTTACCGCTTTTTAAAACAGCTTAGACTACCGGAAATACTGGATAGGAAAAAGTTTTTGTGAAACCTTACTTTCCTGAATCGCTTAATTTATTTAGAGAAAGTTACTGCCCTCTTTCTTTACGTGGCAGCAGTATTAGAGGGACATAATGGTGTGGATTGCATTCTTCTTCTAGAGCTACATGAAAAGTTTTACATACTCGAGCTAGTCGCAAAAACGTTTCAAAACATGAATTGCATGAATAAGTTGCACTGCATGAATTTCCAGTCTCTCAATTTGAAAAGGGCCACTGAAAAAGTGCTAAGGAAAAAGACTATCATGAGTGGGACTTATCAATGTCAAGTAGAGACATCACAAGCCTTCGTCCCTCAAAAAGATTCTAACAGAGAGCTCTCGTGATAAATACTGAACTTGAGACACCATAGAAATAACAATTACACTTTAAAGTTATTGAATTCGAACTCACATAATTGATGGTGAAAAAGTAAAAAAATGCATTAACTATGCCTACCTAAATTTACGAGGGTAGAATACACCGCTCAGCCTAAAATTTTGCACTTTCAGTACCAACAAAAGGCGTTTGCCACTTTTATCAATCTTCGTATTTTACATTTGAAAGTTTCAAAAAAAAGAACAATTTCCAGAAATTCTCATTGAGGTTAATGCAGCGAGTCAAAAAGTTATCATTTAATGGTTAAAATATGAGAGATTTTGGAGTTTTGACTTTTGATGTGAGTTAAGAAAAATAATATTTGCTGCACTTTTAGAGTTTCACATCAAAATAAAAGAATCATTTTTTAGACAGTTTGAAAATAAATTGCTGTATGATATGATGGAAATGGCTGGATCTTGTGAAAAGATGAAGGGGGAAAGAGAGAAAGAAAGAAAAAACAATAATGTATTTTCTTCGGAAAATACAAACTGGAGCAGAGAGGAAAGAGGCAAACTAGCAAAAGAGTTGTTTTGTGGCCAAATATTGGCGACACATACTCAAAAGAAGAAAAAAAACTTTCTAGAGTGGAAAAAAAAAGGATTTGTAGGTTTACTGGTCAGCAAACAAATAGTTTTGATACAAGTCTATTATTTCATTTTTTCTGGACAGAGAGTTATTTATCAATGAGTAAAAGCCAGAAAAACCCTGAAAGGCGCGAAAGACTGCAAAAAAACAATTAGAACTTAAGATATTGCAAAAAAACTGCAATACTCCTGTCTTAAGGCTAACTGAAGACAATGTCATTTCTTCCCCATTAAGAGGCTGTCATGAGGATATAAAAAAAGGGGGTGAGACAGAGCCCAGGCATAAAAGCAAGAAAAAAAGGAAAAAGAGAAAAAGAGAGAGTAAACATAGTTAGCCAGCAAATTTTCTATTGTGAAGCTTAACTAAAGCAGGCTATCAATGTCTCTCGAGAGAGGTTGACTAAATGAAAAATTGTCAAAGATACTACTCCATTCTTTCGTATTGAAATCAGGATGAGAGTAGATACTGTGCATCCGACCAGATACTAGCATAATAGCTGCCCATGCTATTTTGCAAATACAATGTGTATCTGTTTAGCTTACTGAAAGTTTCTGAAAAAGGTTATATTTTCTTTAACATGTGTCTTTCCTTTGGCTATTCTGATATGCTCTTTAATTTACCCTTAACAAAAGATACTTCTAAAGGATGCTTTTTTTACCACGCAGGAAGATGGATTCCAGCACCAACCGAACGTACTCATCACAATATCGATAACTTGTTTCGACTAGAGCAAAAATCGAACTGGTTCCATCTTGTAGGTAACGCTCCTACCACAAGTGTGACTCATCATGCATTTACATTTATTTAAGGCTAGTTTCAGTGATGTTATTTCAAGAGACACAAGTCATGCTGCAATATTTAGGGCATTCAGTATTGCGTCTTGCTTATGTCACCTCCAATCCAAAGTACAAGACATTTCACACTTTGAAAAGGTAGGGTGAAAAGATTAAAAAATGTACTAGACAACTCACCTAACAACAACAGCAATTCTTAAAATTAACATGAAAAACGAATGTTTCATAAATACTGTTCAAAGCGTTCTCTTCATTCCGTTTAAATTCAGCCTCTACCTCTGCCAACAAGCCTGTAATAAGTTTCACAAGATGGCATTGAGAGGTTTTTGGCTTTCTCTAGTGAAGCTTGATCACCAAATGCAGTTCCTCGCCAATACAGCTTGTCTCCTAGAAAGTAAAATGAAATTCTTTAGAATCATTCAGACAAAGAGGCAATGGATGTAAACCTTATTAGTATTGACACTATTTTTGGTCTTGAAATGATTCAGGTTGGTTTGTGAATATATGCCATTAGTAAGTACATTGCTTCCTTTCCAGCGAGAGATAGATACCATATACGCCTGCAGATAACCTGCAACCCAGATTTGGAGAGGGTAAAAATAAAAAAAAATTCCGTGTAACCCACACGCGCCCACGGTGGTCAGTTTTGCTGGCATCATCAAGTAGCGCCTGATAGGTATGCAATTTCCGGGAGTTTCACAGATAACCCACACCCAGATTTTTGAGCGTTGAAATCTGGGGAAAATGTGCCAGTTATATGCGGGCGTATACAGCAGTAGTATCAACAGATTTCAAAATTAATGAAACAATAGTCAATCATGACCTATTTTACTAGGAATACCTAGACCAAGAAATTTGAGTTCAGAAAAGAAATCAATCCAAACTGGCTGGAGCTTAACTTGACTTGAGAAAAAGTTTAAAAGCTCAAAACTCTAGAATCGACCTGAAAAAAGGTTAATCCTCAAAACTTAACAAAATGAAAAACCAGGCTTATACAGTAAGAGAAATGAACACCTAAACCTGCACGAATGGAAATTAAATTGAAACTTACGGGTACTTTTTTCTCTCGCACATGCACTGGCTATTTGCTGAATGTAGTCCTCCTCCACAGAAGTCTCTAGCCGATACTGACTCCCTGTGTAATCTTGAGGGAAAGTCTCTTTCACGTAGTAAGGAACATTTAGATTCTTTGTGTGCCGCAAGACATGGAATTTCCTGAAAAAATAATCAAAAGGTTTAACATGGATCCCTAAATTGCCGGCCTCATGTGGTGAGGTGGTTGTAGTGCTTGCTCTATGATTAGAGATTTCATTTTCTTGTGATTCATAATGACCAAAATTCTGGTTAAAAATCCCAAAATTCTCGCTGAAAACTGCCAAATTTTTGCTTATGCTTTACCGCATTCCTCCAATTCTTGCTGAAAATCCTAAAAGTCTCACTGAAAGTCCAGAAATTCTCGCCGAAAATTTTAAAATTATCTAATGACTGCCTAATTCTTGCTAAAAATGTATTTTCTTTTCGTCTCTTATTTTAAACGAAAGTATGAGAGTTATCTCTGGCTAGCTTGATTAGAAACAGAAGGGGATAGGACTTCAGGGACAGAAAAGCACAAGATTATCTCTCGTGGGATATTGGAGGTGAAAAAAAAAAAAAAAATCGAGTCACCGGAAGACCTTTCTCTTGGCAACAAGGTAGCAATTTAGTTTATTGTTATCCGATTCAAAATTCATATTCACTCCAGCAATGTTTCATTCTGAAGCTATGTATGCATGCTTTCATAAATAATCTACCATTGATTTTATACTGTAGTGCTAATCTTAAAATCTACGCCACATATCGTGGTGTTGATGTTAGTTAATTTCTGGATACAACACAGTTTCAGATGTTATAAACTAAGATTTAAAATTTGTTAAGTTTGGATTTTATTTATAAATAACAATAGAGCATTTACTTAGGAAAAATATTTGCAAAGATAACGGGAGAGAAAAAATATGTCATTGAAGGTGAATGGAAGCATTTTTATAAAGTTCCCTCCCTGTAATTTCTCTCTTTAAAATTTTTCTTGTAATAACTCTCAGAATAGGCGTTAGCATGATTTGAACCACAAATATGAAATGCGAACCTGAAGCCAAAAGATCAAATAATTTTAGGAAACAACATAAAAACTCGAAATTGAAACAATGGAATAATCGATTTTGGTTTGTGACGCTGCAAATTTCCTGTTACTTGTAAATTCTTTCGACGGTGACTTATCATGGTTATTTTGCAATAATCTTTGTAACTTTTCAGAGCTTTTTGGAGAAAATTCTGTGAACATGTTCTATGAAAAAGTCAGATAATTCTTTTTGAAGATTAAAAAACAAGAAATAGAAATTTTGAAATGCCACTATCAAGACCTTTGTCATTCATTGTATCATTCATAGTTTCACTTCCAAACTGTTCTGTAGTACAGGAAAGTATTGGAGGACAATGATGATAAATGCATCATTGCTATCAGTGGGATGGAAGACAGTATATTAAACTCACGGAGTCTGAGCTAAGCTGTAAACAGGATCTGTCACAAAAAGACTGCTCATCATGGATAAGAGGATGATCAAAATGATAGGTAACATCTGTAGGATTACTGTAAAGCTGTTTGCCTGTAACAAGAAAAAAATCATCAATATTTTTTGATCAATCTGAGTAAAACGAAAACTGTGGAAAATGAGGCAAGCAATGCAACAGTGTGCAGAGCCAGAGTGATAGACCCATGGCGACCTATTTATTCGATTATCATCCAGAATTTACACCTTACCTTATATCACACTTTTTACATCAGTCTCTGACTGGATAATTTGTTTAAAAAAGATGAAAAGGAAAAAAGATCTGTAAATAACCAGAAAAAATTAAACCTTCTCTACATTTTTCTCTAAACTGAGAATCAATTTGATTTCTATTATGCCTTCTGATCCTAAGCATTTGTTCACATCAGTTAGTGGTATGTCTACTTAAATTCATGTGATTTGTCATTTTAAATCATATTTCATTTTATTCTAATTAAATTCAAGTTACAAAATATTCTTTGATGAAGCTTCATGATCAACCATAACTCATAGATAGAAAGTTACCAACTTACACTCCTATAAGAATTCTACTGAAGCTTTCGCAACTTGAGTAAAAGCTCCATTGATGAGCTTTCATTCAACTATATAACTATAAATAGAAACATTCAGATGTACCACAAAAATGACAGCTGTGCAGTCAATTGAAATATTTTTTTTTTGGTCAGTCCATCGAGTGCATAAAAATGGAGGTTAAAAAAGAAAAGGGTCCGATAATTGAATGGTAGAAGCTTACATTTTGATTATTGGTGCCAAAGTCGGCAGTCCTGTATGTCCTGGTCCTTTGTCCCATGAATGCATTTCCCTGCGTTGGGAATCCTCGACTGAAGAACGAGTAGAACAGTTCCTCAGCAGCCATGTCCGCTGTACATAAAAAAAAGCACAACATTATTTTTCAATATTACAATAATTAGGTTAAATTTCACACAAATTCACAATGTTAAAACGTGAAAAAAAATTCCTCTCAACTGGGCAGAAGAGCGGTAGTTCTGAGTTTTTAAGTTTCAACATTAGTAGATAAATTTGATGTATAAAAATTTTAGCCTCTTTTCCAAATTCACAATACTTGATGCTTCCTGATTTTCAGTGAAGTCTGGTAGCGATTACTAATAAACCGGCATGTCCAATGCAAACCAGATTTTCTTAGTACAGGTAAGCAGTCACATTAAAAAACAAAGAGAGGCTGCTGCGGCGCCTTCATCAAAACTGCAGCAACCATTTGCACCAGTCACACTGTTGCAGTGAAAATGTTAGGGAAGCACTAAAGTTTCTAACAATCCAAACTAATGAAATTTGAAACATAATTTTTCAGAAAAATTAGTATAACTTTCTTTCACTACGAGTATATGGATGATTTGTTAGATTTGTTACACAATTGTTTCCATCGTAACTGTAATACCTTAGAGAAAAACCTTACTGATAGTCTAATCATTTTAGCACACTTTCAAAATTGATGGTTACTAGGTGTGAACATGCTAACAGAACGGTTGAAATTCATGACTCTTAATGCATCAAGATCTAATGGTCAAGTTTCAAATGCATTGTTAGGAAGACCAAGTACGGACATATTCATTGGTTACTCATCAATTTCACTTCAAGTGGTGAACCATTCAACACTTTTCCCCTCTGCAGAAAATTTGAGTTACTGGAAAAATCTTTTTTAACATTTATGAATTTAATATACAACTATAATCATAAAACCATTGTTTTTGAGTTAGGTCTCCCTGCGCTAAAGTCAGGTTACAGATTTCAAGATATTGTGCTGTTTTAAAGTATTTTGAGTTACAATGACTCAGTGTCTGACTAATTTCTAGTAGAAAAATAAATATATTTACGATCAAATCCACGTGTGTAGTCATGTTGATGATGAGTCTGGAAATTCTTGGGTTGCTTCTGCTCTGATCCACAGAGATCATACTGCTTCCTCTTTTCTTCATTTGTTAAAATTGCAACAGCATTCCCAATTGCTGAAAAAATAATCATTGATGGATAAAATTCTGCGCTGAGAAGTTAAAAAGACCTGTCTGCTAGGTTTACTGCACAGCAAATGCATCAGAATAATGCGTTAATTATGCTGTCCGATATTGGTGAATATAAATATTATAGTTTGTATTTTTGATTATAAAATGGTGACAGACTGCTTCCATGTAAGCTGAATTTACTGAAAAATGGTTCACGCATGAATCTAATTTGTTTAAATTTGTTCATCTTCTGAATATGCAAAGTTGAGGTAAAAAAAATTCATTAACTTAAAATGTGTGGTAAAACTGAGAAAAACAAAGTAAGTAACTCAAGTTAAAAATTGTAAGTTGAATATCCATAGATACATACGTAATAATCCATGGCAATAATCCACAGATAATTTGCTTCCCATATAACAATGAGCAATATATAATTCGGGTTCAAGACCAATCCACACAGGTCAGTCATTGAGCATCTTTTTGAAAGCCACTTCCCCCCCCCCCCCTAACCCGGCGGCACTCAATGCTACGTCACAATGGGTGCTCCCATAAGAAATACATTGCAGGCACTCAATACTACGTCACTGCGCAGTAGCGTACCAACACTCGTCCTCGGGAATGACTGACCTGTGTAGATTGGTCTTGGTTCGGGTTAAGATAATTCTTATGGCTTTAAAGCAAATTTACCAGTTGATTTAGTACTACAGCCAACAAAATTGAGTTTTTACTTGAAAAATGTAAATAATTTATCTGACAAAAACAAGAGAGCAAAAAGACAAAAAAATTGGCAGTGTTTAAAATAATGTAATAGGATTGGCTGCCATTATGTTATTATTTTCTTTTTCTCTTCTTTTTGGTAAAATTTCTTTGAATGCAAACTTGGATGGCAAATAACATAACCTGCATAAATTACCTTTGAATGCTTCAGCTGCTCCAGGAGCCTTATTTTTGTCTGGATGTAGCTGTAAAGCAAGTTTCTTGTAAGCTTTCTTGATTTCTGAGTCAGTCGCTTCTTTTGTCACGCCAAGGATTTCATAGTAGTCTTTGCAAACTTTTATCCTATGAAAAATAAAATAAAGCCTTCGTGAATACACTGATGAACTCATTATGACGGACTATGTGTGACACCCTGTACTTCTAAAATGCCTACTGTTCAGGATAGCTAAAAAACAGATTTTACTTTCCATTTGAGGTAAACACGGTCCAAACCTGGTCACGACAAGTGTTCAAGGCATCACTTGAGAAGATTATTAACTCCACATCTCGTATGAAACAATAAAATGTTAAATATGAAGGAAAACTCACAGATTTTGCGATATGTCTTTCCCCCTACTTTTGCGCCACATTCTAGGAGCACAAAAACAAGTCATGTATATGTCATCGTGCTTTGTGTTTCAAATTATGGTCTGTTTTCTTCCCTCTCTCTTTTCCCAAGATCATAACACTAGAAATAGAGCAAGGATTGAAACAGTCCAACCAATGCCTTATTCTTTACAAAATACACAGGTATACAAAAATCTTTCTTTTCCATGATAGCATTGAAAATTTTGGATAGAAATTACCTTCTGACACACTCGAGTTGATCCTTGGAGTATTCAGGAGCTTCTGTCCGGGTTTCTGTTTTTTTAGGACCTGCGACCAAGAAATAAAATATTCATCAGAACTTAACTTACTTCAAAATTTTTTCATTTTAGCATTTCACATTGATTAACCCCATCTTTTTCCACCACTTGCCAGATTAGAAAGCTCGCTCTTCATACGCTGAGACGAATCTCCAGCTCTGATTGGCTCTGAATCAGCATCACTCAACAGGTTACTACATGCGATCAGATCAGCATTTCATGGGCGACCTTCTAAATTTGTGCAAAAAAAAAAACCTATCTTCATTCTGAGATTGAAAGATTCATGTATCTTTGGCTCAGTGGTTTGTTTACTTACTAGGAACCAATTGCAAATCTTTGTAATTATTCTGATCAATCAACTTTATATTTTAATTTATTGAAACCTGTTTGAAATTAGCTTTATTGTGATCACTTGCAGTTTTAAGACATTATTGTGTATAATATCACAAGCAGATCTTTTATGAAAAAATTGATAGCACATAGGTGATATTAACCTGTATTAGTACGCTGCCTTGGTCCAGTGGGTCCATCTGTAGTCGTCGTTCGTGCAGAATCCCTGGTCAATCGATCCAAAGAGTCTAGCAGATCTGAAAATACCAAGATTGGGAATAAATTTAGAAATAGAGGAAAAAAATAATCCATAGGCTATATAAAGATGTTACCAACTAGACATTCATATCAGTTGCTGCTTTTCCAAACTTACTGAACTGAAAAACTGATCTTTGATTTTCATTGCCTAGATGCAATTGAGATGATTTACTACATTTACAAAATCAGATCGGTGGCAAGACCCGGAGCCAAAGTTGTGTTAGAGCTACAGTATGACATGAAAATAAATGTGCCACAATATGGTTTACACTACAAGGATGGTATCTACCTAGTAGAGAAGTTTACTTGTACGAGCACTTAACTTCAGGGGTGAGTGCGTATATTTGATACAAAATTACCTTGGCACTTATGGGTTAGCTGAAGTCTGATGCATATTCATTCCCAGAGTTGCATACTTAAGTGAACGATATTATTGTGAGAGAGTCTAATTTGACTTTACTGGAAAAATTCAAGTCGCTCTGACTCCGAGGAATAGCAAGTAATTGATATTGAAGATGATGCAACTAATAAAACAATGATTAGATGAAAGGCGCAGTAACTCTAATGGTTTAGTTGGTCAAAAAGGGCATCGAAAGTCATCTTAAAATATTAATATGCGTTCAAAAGCATAAACAAGCGAAGAAAACTGAAAAGGTGTTATGATATTAATCTAAATGTTCCGGTAAAAGGCGTTACCAGGCTCCGTCACGTCAAAAGAAATGTATATCACTCAATCTACTCTACTTTATTTGTTAAATCCAAATTCATCTTGAACAAAAGTTTAACCCTACATACTTGCAGGCAAGTCGAAAAACATGGAATACTTAAGTGAATGAAATGGTCCTAAGCCTCATAATTTAAAATTTACGCAAGGGTTCAATGTTCATCTCTTGAGTTGGGTTTTGACTTGTGATCAATGAGACGAAGTAATCACTATACCTTTGGTTTTGGGCATGGAGTAAAGCCTTTCAGCTTTCAGTAGGAACTTTTCAGCTTTTTCCCTATTTCCATCTCGGATGTAGTTCTCAGCGATTTCCAGGCACCTGATGGCCTCGTCTTTGTTACTGTCCATGATGAAAGGCAGGTGATGGATGAAGACACGACGTAGCGCGAAAAAAGCACGTCACAACCCACTGATTGAAAGAAACTGTTCAAAATTATAACTCCGTATACATTTAAAACTGTTAAAAGACTGATGTAGAAAGTAAAATGAATAGAAATTAAGTATTAAAGGGATTTGGGTCCAAAAGTCTTGTCACTTGCAGTAATCTTATCAGCCATCATCAGCTGTTTCCGTGTTTTATGGTGTTTGATGTGTTTTGCTGTCGTCAGTCAACGTTGCAAAAGAAGCCGGGAATTTTGAAACCTCGAGGAATCAAGAACGGGTGGCAAAGTTTTAAGTGATATGTTTGACATTTTATTCTTTTATTGCTTCCGGTGATCGAAAACGGAAACATAGTGCTTCCTTTCCTCCTTATATCTTTGTAACTATTTTTTTCGTTGCTACAGATACACCGATCGTTACCAGAAAGAAACGTGGAATGGAAAGAGCAGAATTTGTCAGGATGAGGACAAAATTGCCCAACCATGTATTACCTCCATTTAAGTGTCTCAAAATTTCTGCTCAAATTTAGTTTTTTCACCGGAAAATAAGCGACGTACCTAGTCTTTCATAACCAAAACCATTTAACGCCGTGCTGGTTTCTTTGGATTTTAATTTTCTTTTTTATTTTTGTACTCTTTTAGCGGCTGATAATAGTGTCGACTAGACACCAGAATGTTCAGTGTATTTTTATGTATTTGAGCCTTGTTTTTACTGTTTCCTTGTTTTCTTTCGATTATTTCCATTCTGGGCTGCTTATGTACCTTTGTCTTTTTTCTATATATATAGATAAACAATCTACTGACAGCAAAGAAAAATAAGGTATTTTTCGAGAAATTAGATTGAATAGTCTCCTAAAGAAAAAATAAAGTATGAGAGGAAGTCTGCAGTGTCGCAAACATAGATAGATGGTTTCACACTTTGCCATGAATACACTTAAGAAGCATTGTTGGAAATAGTTCAAGGAAGGTAAATTTAAAGTTCTAGATTTTTTGACCGAAGGTCTTCGATGAATTTCCAATTTTTTCATGTTTTAAAATTCTTCATTCATTTAAGGAAATATTGAGTAAAATATGTATCTAATTCTTACTTCAACATCACATTGATGAAAGTTAAATTGTACTAAAAATTAAGAAGGCAGAATGAACATTTTCAGTCAAAATAAAAAAAATTTATTTAAACTTAGATTAATAAATGACAAAGATAACATACTAAAAACACAAATTAACAATTGGAAGTGTCTGCTCCTTATAACCATTTGAGTGTGAACACTTCCTTGTACTGCAATTTACAACCCTAAATTAGGCACCATGAAGGATGGTAAAAAGAAGCCAAAAATCCATAGTAGTCTCGTTTTTCTGAGTTTTTACCTGTAAGTATTATTTTTTATCCACATCCCTCGATCCTTGCAGGACCCTCTGAGTCAATTATTTGAATTTTTGAGATGAAAATCCTACTTCATTAAATAATTCAAATCACTACTTAAGTTTAGAAAGGCCGAAAAAATTATTTGCTACTTTGAACACAGTTCCAATGGTTAAGCAATGTAAACTCCAAATGCAGTGGATAGGTAAATGAGATTAGCCTCTCCCAGTGAGATGAGCATTAGTTTTTTTCCTTGATTGCCTCAAAAATGTTAAGTGTTTATAGTCAAAGTATAATTTTCACAAATTACTGTTAAGAATGATGTTTGGAAATTTTTGTTTGCTTCATTCAATTCTAATTAAAGCATAATCTATGATGTGCTGTCTTTAAATACATTTTTATCATGAGTTTTGATCATTGTCCTCGGCACAAAGCATTTTTATCAAGACTTACTTTCCAAGAAAGTGGTTACGGGCTCAGATGCTATAACAACTCATGACGTCAATTTAAGAACAGAGAGTCACCCATGGTGATTTAGTAAAACGGTTGTGAATTCTGAGGCTGATGCCACTGAGGTCCTCCGTATGACTGAGGCATTTGCTCAGGATATTGAGGTGGAGGAGCTGGCACTGGAAGTGGGGGGCAGGGTGCAGGAGGGACAGCAGGATATTCTGCCGGAGGAGCGGGTGGATAGTAGGGCGTGGGAGGCTGGGTTGGAGGGGCAAAGGGACCCACATACGGAGGAGGTGGCTGAGGAGGGTAACCATGGATCGGGAAGGAGGCCGGAGCAGGAGGTGGTTCCGAATTATCTGAGATCTGCACGGTTATCAAGTTAGAGCGAGAAGGTGGCCCTGAGGACTGCGGCATGGAGAAGTTCATTTGCGGTCTGTGGCCAAGGTATGGTGGAGAACGACGGGCATGTGGCTCCAAGGTGTGTGCTACTGACGGATTGGTGCGCGGATCACCAGATGCTAGGTGTATGGGCGTTTTCAACCTTGGAGTGTTCTGCATCGCCATAGCTTGCATTTGATTGGTGAGTTTCATTGGGGGTTGCTGAAGGTCTTGGGTTAGGTCTGTACTACCACCAGGTGTTGAGACATGGCGATGGTTAATGTGAGCCTAGTGACAAGAAATCAAATATTTAGAATCGCAGTTTATTAGGAAAATTGGATTTTTTCAGATGTTAAGAAAATACTTTTGGATCATAGAATTTTCGATAATTTTTTCCATTTTTTAGGACTAATTTTTACGACTGATTTTCCTGAGATTATTCCCTTGCGGTCAAATATATTTTCTACTTAGGTAGGTCCAGAATTAAAATGCAATTTCTGATGCTTCGAATTTTAATTTAGGGGATGGATGTGCATCTTGCTGGCTAGACGCACATACTAAAAAGAATTTTCTGAAATATGCATACAAATGTCTGATTAAGTTTTATTTTTTAGAAAGGAAATTTAACTGGGGCAAAGTAATAGATACTAAGTGTTAAAAAAAAAAAAGTCAAAAGTATTCAACTACAGTAAATTTTGTGTACGTCCTATCAAACGAATAACTCCTTATCCTCTCTCAAAAAAGGTGAAAAAATCCATAGTTAGATGAACACGTTAGATCAGCTAGAAAGCATGTTATGTACTTCTGAGCCAATCGGAAGTTGTTGAAGTTTGATCTTTGCCAACAAGGTATGTAGGATATAGCACAAAAATAAAAAATAATGATAAAAAAAGAAAAAATATTAATAAGACGAGATGCACAAGGCAAGGAGACTTACTTGCAAATCCCTTTGAGAGAGATATGTGCGTCTGCAGCCAGTGTTCCCATACCTTGTTCCATCATGAGTACACATGAAAACAGTACCAAGTCCAGTCTGCTCTACCCGAGAAACTTTATCGCTACATCTTGGACAAACCTTATCCTCTTTTTTGGCACATGACAGACAGAAAACATGTTTACAGGGGATCTGTAACATAAAAGAAAATGAAATCAATGAATTTTTCAATGGAAATCAGTATTCCCAAGAAATTATGTTTAGAGACAAGTTAAGTACTCCCTAAATTTGATTTTTTTTTAATTTCCTACTTTCTCCAATTTTTTTTTATTCTGAAAGGTATCTATCCGGAGACAGGGATTTTGAACTCCGAAATAATTTTAAATAAATCCATGGACGGGGCTAAGCAGTGAAAGCACAAGGTGGAGGTAGCCTAATTTTAAAGGAGAGAAACATCCAGATTAGACCCCAGTCCAGGGGACTGACCCATGCTGACGCTGGGGCCCACTAGGTGAGGAAAGAAGCACACACAGCCGGTCAGCGATGAAATGTTGATTTCTTTATTTCTAGTGACTCCTAAATAACTGTCTCAGCTTCTCCGCAAATCTCATTTTGAAAAATAGGATCTTTTTCAGGATTTAAATGAAATCATAATTACCATTCTTCCATAGATCAGAATTGGCTTGAGACACGTATCACAGCAATGAATCATTGGGTTGAGAACTTTCTCCCCCATCAAATTCACTTTGTGGTCCCATTTCAGTCTTAACATTGGTTCTGGAGGCCCGCGATTTAGGGTTGTGAAAGTTGGTGCTTCTAGCTGAGAAATGTCCGCCTCTAGGTCAACTGCAACAGGGGAAAATATTTTTTTCTTACATTAAGTTATTAAGATCAATATATTTTTCATATTTTGTTTGAAACTGTCAATATGTGGGTGCCTCAATTTTCCTAAATAGTCTCTCAACTGCTTCATTTGCTGGAGGCCTTAACTACAATGACACAGTCATTTTTCATGCCTGTTAATGGAGAACTATTACTTAAAATTTAATAGAGAACAAAATTACTTAAAATTGAAGTAAAATTTTAAAAAATCAATATTTTCCTTCACTTTAAAAAGGCTTTTGGAAGTTTTAATTTTTTAGCCTTTCAATAGTTAAGAACAAAGATAGAAAGAATTCCTGAGGGTAGGCAGGTTGACTGTAACAAAAAAAAGGATCAGTCCAACACAATAACTGGAGTGGCATTCTCAAAAAAGTTTAGTGTTTGACAGGCTTTCTTTATTTATGAGTATCTGGTGATGAGATAAATTTAGTTGACACATTGCCTACGAGAATGGAGAGGCCATAACTCGTCAGTTTTGTGACGTAAAGCTAGTGGATATTTTCCGAAAACAACGAGCATCTCCGGGTCATCGGTGCATTGATGAGTGAGGCAGTTGCTGCGTGGACTAATCAGAGTGGCCCTCCTTTGGCGGAAGTTGCGTGAGCAGCATGTTTGAATCTGAGTGGAGTAACGATTTTTGATATTAAGCTTTCATTTCCTCAATTATCAGGCAATGTCATGCATGGATAAGTTAATTTTCTGAAGTGAAATTTTATCCTCTTTCGAAAAGTTTACTATGAATTTTTGCATCAAATCAACCCCTGAGAAAATATCAGCGAGAAAGGATCACGCGTCAGGCGTTCTCCCATAAGAACACATGTTAAACCGCAGCCGAGTTTCATCCACTAGCATGACGTCATAGGAACGTAGTTACAGCCTCACCATTCTCGTAGGCAACAGTTGAGATTCATAATAGTGGTTGAAAATTTGAACTTAGACTTATTCAAATAAGTGGATTGAAATTACTTTTTGGGGGTGCCTGGTTTTCATCATTTTTTGTCAAATCTTCTGTGCTCTGGTTCAGAGTGTCGCTCATCTCTTCATCCTCATTTTCACTGGCCTGGAAAAGAAAAACATTCAAACATGATTATCTTGAAAAATATTTCAAGGAAGTTAGATGGAGACCAATTTTTGAATAAATCTCATCGATCAGTTAGAGGTTCAGAGTTTCATGAATCATACCAAACATGACATTGTACTGTTCGTACTAATAAGATTCAGTTGAAGGGGATATTGGAAAGAAAACCAGTATTAATATGTAAGTACTGGCTTTTCTTTTCTCCTTTGATCAAAGAAATTAAAGCACATCCAAAGCAGAAATGTTGCGTACACTTCTTGTGTGTAGGCCACCCATTAGAAAATCCTATGCATGCATTATCACATCCGGTATTAACTTGCTTATGAAAGTAAAGAAGAGGTGGATTCCAAGAAGAGGAAAAGCTATCAAGCTACATTCTCAGTATATCTTTTAAACTGACAAATTTGATGGTGGGTGAACTTTCTAAATCTGAAAGTGGGTCCTGCCCAGAAGCTGTAAAGATTCATTTCGTTCTCCAGGTCTAGGAAACTTGTTGTGTTTCTGGAATTTTCCTGGTTTACATTCTCAATGAACAATTCAGTAAAAATTGACGGTCTGAAGCTTGGGATTGCTTGCACTTCCTTACACATTGTATAAATTTGAAATAGAAATTATAGGTATAGGTATACTTAAGAGGAGAATGAATAATAGGATTAAATTGATGTTGTCTTCATAAAAGTAATTCCGATTATCTTTGATTACAAGACTTCATATTCTGTCTTTCTTACTTCAAAAATCAATATCCTTTATCCCCTAGTTATGATTAATTGTGACAAAATTCTTACTTGTAATTTCCGTGCTCTTGTCACAATGATGAAAAAACACGAAATGCAAAACTGATGAAACCCTAAATTTCATTCATTTCAACATCTTATTCACTTGGCAATTTAATTAATTGTCAAAAGAAAGCAGACTCACCAACACCATATTGAGTAACTATCATTGCTACTTTCCAGAGTCTGACTCCTCGGGATTCAAACTTCTTGTGATTATAACAACCAGAGGGCATTTTCATTTCATACCAATTACTGACCGAAAACTTCATTAGACAAGTTAGACAAGTTCAATCAACTTTACCTCGGATTCATAAGCTTGCTGGTATGTTATGATTCCTTGTATATGTTCTGAAGAAATTAATAGTGTGTAGCTTGTAAAAAAGTTCTTTTCCCTTCAACTATAATTATTATTTCAACACAGATTTTATGATATACTTACTTTAGATACTTTTTTACCGCGTCCTCGTCCTCTCACTCTGCCTCTGCCTCGGCCCCTTGGTCGACCGCCTCTGCCCTTTTTAGATCCTTCTTCAGAGTCCATGATAGATATAGGTATTAGTACCTAACAGCAAATGAATATTTTACAGTTGATGGGATAAAAAAGATGAAATGTACATTTAAAAGAGCACTTTCAAGCAACGTCCGCTTGATCAGAACTGAGAGTAAACAATAATGTTATTGCTTGTTTTGAGGTTATGGTTGCATCGATTCTGCTTTCGAACAGAGAGAGAACACCGAATCGTCTAAAAGGGTAATTGACCTTCATTTGCTTCTTTTGATTGGATGCTCATTGCGGTTCCAGTTATGTGATTGGTTCATTAGATTTTTAGAGTAGGTATTTTTTATCACTCTTTTACCGTCGCGACTCAACACACGTGGTTGATTCATTTGTTTTCGTTAGAGGTTAGAAATAAAAAAAAGCAAGTTCGGGTTCGCAATCTTTGTTCATCAATTAAATAATTAATCTTTTATCATTTAATCCTCCGCTTATTTCCGTTATTTGCAACATCAGGTAATAGCTCAGTTTTAAACACATCATTCTCAACAGGATCCTCTGTGTGTCCATGTTCACCAAAATTAATCTTCACTAACAACATGTCTGGTTGTCGAAGATCATCTTTTCTATCCCCAAAGATTTTTCGATCCTTTTTTATGTGCTGTGAAGTCTATAAAATTTTAGGGCTGAAAGCGCGTAGTCCTGCCTGAGCATTCAATTGAATGGCTCTATTTGATGAGGATTGGCATCCTCGCTTGTTATCAAGAAATTAACTGTTAATGTATAACAATACTCACCATCTCAATTTATCATCAATGGAAATCACATTACTCTCATTGAGTGGAATTTCCCTCAAGTTAGAGGTGCTATAGTCCACTTCACGAAACCTGAGACTTTTTATTCGGCATTAAATTCCGCAAATGTCAACGCATCGATCTTGGACTCGGGTAACCGTACCGCTCGCCTGACACCCTCTTTTGTTCAGCGACCATAGGCTGGCAACCCGTCCATTGTGAGGATAGGAACAATGGGCTCCCTTCATCCCTCCTTAATGAGCCCTGATACCCGGACCGAAATTTTTTTCTCGCTGACAAATTCAACTTGTGGCGTAAAAATTTAGTTCCACGTTGTCCAATTATGTTAAAAATGCACTATATTCGGTCCAATTATCTTAATTTTGAGCTGATGTACAGTATTTCACGGCAAACCGCGGTCATGCCGTAGATCAGCTCAAAATTAAGATAATCGGACAGAATTTTGTTGCGTTTTTATCATAATTTCTCGCTGGAACTTTTTCATGCCACAAGATGAATTTTTCAGCGAGAAAAAAAATTTTGGTCTGGGTACTAGGGCTCATTAAAGAGGGATGAAGGGTGCTCATTGCTCCTATCCTCACAATGGACGGGTTGCCGGCCTATGGTCACTAACAAAAGAGGGTGTCTGGCGAGCGGTCTGGTCACCCGAGTCTGAGACTGATGCGTTGTCATTTATGGATTTTAATGCCAAATAAAAATTCTCAGATTTCATGAAATGGACTATAGTTCTGTAACTAACACATCTTGCGTCTAACTTTTCACTAAAGGCCCTTGATGTGTAGGCAAAAAGTCAATTTGCCCCCTACAAAATCTTCAATGGCCCCCAAAAATCGAGCTTGATGCGCCACATGGCTATTGAAACTCAAAGGTGAGTTTCGAACACTGGTCATTTGCCATTCTAGCCCTGGGTAACTTGCTTGGAATTAGATTGTGTATGTAATCATGTTTTGTCTTCATCACTTTCCTAATTTATGTTTTCACATGAATATTTTATTACAGTTGAACAGGCTTGAAAATGGTCGAGCTAGAATCGGACATATCTGGCGGATCTGATGACTATGAATCTGAATCTGATATTGACCAGGATTCTGATTCAGCTGTGAGTGAGATTATGCTATCACTTTACTCTAGTATTTAAGCTATAACTTATCTGTTGTTGGTGCATCATGGGAAGGCAGCAAGACCGAGCAGGATGTGGTGACAACAGATTAAAATTTGGTGAATCCCTCGTTTCTTCATTCGCAAAATCAAAAGAATTCTGGACTTGTCGAAGCTTTATGAAACTGAAAGACTGAAATCGCTATGATACCTATCTTTCATATTTTTGGACAGAGAATGGGTAATACTTTAAAAATGTCAATAAAAATTGTAATATTAATTAGTCCAACTTTAACAGAAACCCACTATGTCACATTTTAGAGAAAAGAGAATCACAAGTTTTCAAATTCTTACTAAATAATTAAGTGCACTCTGTTGGATTCATATTAAGCCGAAGTTTATACTTCATCCACTTCTTTCCCATCGCCTTCAACTAGATATTCTATTTCTCCATCAAGATCACTCTCCTTTGTGAGAAATTCTTTTAATTTTGCCCTCAAAACTATGTCTGACTAATTTATACCTTTTCTCCTTTCAGCTGCAAGAAGCCTTTGCCAAAGGTATCTTGAAACCCGGTCTGAACATTCAGGTTCCAGCCAACGATCTACCCCCTCCTCCAATTAATAATGTGGTACGTGGTTTTTTTGGTGTCTATGCAGTGGGAAACAGATTATCATTGCATTTTATATCATTTTTTCTGCCTTTTTATCGATAAACTGGAAATCTGTCCCTCTCCTCTCGGGAAAACACCAAAAGGCTGTTAAAGCCCCCTAAAAGCCTTACATAATTTATAGACAGGGTCTCATTTGTATTTTTTGTATTCCTTATGGTCTTGATTACTTGGAATACCTTATCCTACAGATAAAAGAAGAGATATTGTGCAGATTTTCCTTTTAAAAAAAAAGAGCGTTTAAGCTGGTTTGAGTTTAAAAGATTCTGTCTTAGGTCTTGGCCTGAAAGGCTAGGGTTGACAGAAAATCCTTCCACGGGCGTGGAGTGCGGTTAGTCTGCAGAAAGGAAACATTAATGCTCCCGACTGTGTACCAGACAGTTTTCGACGGAAATTTGGCAGGATTTTTTGTCAACCCTACCCTCGGAGCTCAGGAAGGAATCTCTGCCGAACGTTCAACTCGAAAGGAACTAAGCCACATCAGCTATTGCCAAATTTAACTGGGTAATTTAATTGTTAACAAGAAAACATGAAAACTGTTCCTTTGAAAATTTAAAGGAATTTTCTTCGTAGTATGCAAAAATTTCACTGAAATCTGCACAAAAATCCTCGCACCATTTCCACGTAACAAGTTAGAGTTCCCAATTAAATTTTCACTAGCTGGTGTGGGTTAAGTAGCTCCTCTCTGCTGAACGTGGTCCAAATTTACTCTTTTATAATTTATTTAAAGTTTTCGAAATTATTAATTGTTTAAATTTGTAATTTCGGTCATTTTTGGTCAAAGTGCTCTTCCCAATCAAGACGCTAGCAATGCATTTAATCTAATGATGTGATCCTGCATTAAGAAATAGATTTCTATTTTTACTGCCCCATAGACCAGATCACCTGCACACACAACTACATACAAGACCATTTCTTCATATTAGGCACTGTGATGTACGATTCTGCATCAAAATTTGACGTTTAAAATTATATACTCAGCCTAAAATTCTAGACTTATCTTTGTCCAGTTTCAACTAGAAAGAATTACAAGATCCAGTACCGGCTGAAATCTTTTTTATGAAGGAAATGAAAGTTTCCAGTCAGTTCGTGCTTCAATATATTTAGCCTGTTTTGACTCTAAATGCTCAACAACCTTTGATATACCCACTTTATAAAAGTTTATTACACAAATTATTTTATCCTCATGCTTAGTTTGTGTGCAATGTAAGACTCAGTGAGTTTTGATTTTGACATTCAGATAAAAGCACATGGAAAAATTGAATTGCTTTCCCTCCATTCTCTAACATCAGAGGATCGGTGTTTTTGTCATCTGGTTTTGATGTCAACGATGACTCAAAAAAATAAGTTTTAATTATCATTACAACCTTGTTAATTTTTTTGTTGGTTAATCCTTTGGAAATGATCAACACCAAGTTGCAAAGACTTGATTTGCCAGTATTTGTAATTATTTCTTGATCGTCTTATTTCAGACCGCATTGAAATTAAAACTGGCAAAAATTAGCAATGATTTTCCTTGGGAGGAACGCTTGGATATCACTACAAAACCTGCTGTGTTGGCACCAGAGTTGGAACTACAGGTAACTTCTTACACTAAGCTAAGAGATCTACCATGGATGGTGTGACTTTAACTTGCGACATGAAGCGGTCTAACATTGCTCCTAGCAAAAATATTTATTGAATTCTCCAAATTTTTTACTGAATTGGTTGCCTTCAAGTTAAGATAAATAGAAAAATGACAGAAATCAGTATGATTTTTTAATCTCTTCCATTTTTAATGATTATTTGTAAGCTCAGAGAGAAACACTTATTTTCCAGTACCCTGCATAGACAGAATATACTTCGTAAGTTAAAAACAGTCTTGAGAAAAAGTGAGTTGGACAGCAAAAATTTAGTTGATTTTCATCCGTAAATCTTCAAGAGAACTTAGATGTATAAAAATTTTATGAAATGGGGAATACTAATGAAGGAGCTGCTGATTCAAAAGGCAATATTTTGAAAATGATAGGAGAACCCCAGTAGATTCCTATACATTCCAGTACTTTCCTATGTATAATCATTAAACTCAACGAATTTTGGTAAGAAATTTTTCTCCCCAAATTTAAAAGGATTTTTTTTTTCTATTTTTTCTGGCTCAAACGGTCATAATTTGGTGAGAATCAGTCAGTTGTGCTGGTCACAGAATCCTGTTTTGATGCTTGATTCTTGTGAATCAGCTCTGAATAAGAAGATCTGTCTGAACAGCAACTTTCTATGTGCAATATTAACGGAAATATCGTTGTAGTGACACCCTTGGTTTCTTCCACCTTACTTTCCTTTGTCTGGGTAATGCACATTTTCATTGGTTACTCGACATGAAACTCAGATGAAAGTAAGGTGGAAGAAACCAAGGGTGTCACCACGGCGCCGGATGACAACATTAACGAAATTTTGCCAAGGAGTGATATCTCGATGAATATTGAACCTAGAGATTTGCTGCTTGGACGGATCTTAACATTTTTAGCTGATCTACAAGAATAAAGCATCAAAACACGATTTTGAGACCAGTGCCACTGATCCATTTAAGAAGCAAGCTAAATTTGAACTAAGTGAAAGAGAAATTAGTTTTTATCTTAAATACAACCATCATGAGATTGTTAGTCACCTTTGCGCTGAAAAATGGGTCTGTATTTTCAAATTCACCTCTTTAAACATACTGAAAGTTGTACGCTAGTGGATGGACTCCATCCTTTTTAAATCCTCTAAAGCAATGTACTGATTTTATGTTATTTTTCAGATAAGAGAAGAAGAGGAAAGAGCAGTGAAGAAGAAAGATAAAACTGCCCTGAATGAGTTTCGACGTGAGACATTATTTCATCAACAAGCACAAGCTGCCGTTTTAGAAGGAATACCCAAATTAAATGCTGCCGGAATTCCCACTAAGAGGCCTGGTGATAGTTTTGCAGAAATGATTAAATCTGATAGTCAAATGGAAAGGGTAAGCATATTTTTTGGTTATCCTGGTATTAATTTGATTCCATTCATTGTTAGGGACACTGTGGAAGAAAGGGAGCTCTATTTCAGCAGTAAAAAATCTTGTCAGATCCAGCTGAAAAATACTCTAGTCGCCAGACCCTTCACAAAATGTAGGATATCGATGGTCAAAGTGCAAAGCCACATATGTATCTCTGTCTTTAACATTGCAAACTTCCTATCACATTTTGTTTTTTTTAGAAAATCAGTCAAGACAATTTCTTCATAACTCACTTGATTTTTCCCCTCTGTTAGCGGAATATTTTTTTTAAATTTCAAACTGTAAAGTTTGCTTGTTTCTCTTCAAAAAAATGAAATGGGAGTGGCGATTTTGAAACATCACAATGATGGTGCGTGGTTTTGCACTTTGTCTATGGATATAATGCTAGTACATTGAAAATAATTTGTTTAAAGTTTATGAAGTAATGAATGAAAATCATGAACTCTCAAATTAGTCTTACTTTTAATGTCCCCAGTGTTTTCTGAGGATTCTATCTTCTGATCAAGTGCAATTCTGATGGACAAAGTATTTTTAAATCTTCGACAGTCTTACTTAAATAAAGGTTTTTTTATTTATTACGACTACTTTTTCATTGTCCTCGGGACTTGCTTCGCTAGATGGAGACTGAAATTCTAGTCAGAACAGGATGAAATTAAGCGGCGTCAAGCTGAAATGCTCATGAATGTTATGCAAGATGGAAATTCCAAACAGCTTTATTACTTGCATTTTAGTTTGACTTTTAAGTCCTTCCAACTTTTGGAACGTCTATTTTTATTTAGTCGTTTTAAAAAAACTGGGTGAGCTTTTCGTCCTAATGCGCCTTCAGTATCGGAAACTAAATCATTCTACCTTTATTTGCACCACATGTGTCTCACTTTTTCTCTTTCTTTTTTTTACAGATTCGTAAATCCCTTATTAAGAAGAAACTTGGAATGGAACGAGCAGAATTTGTCAAAAAGATGAGGACACAAAAGAAAATTGCGAAGAAGGTGCAGACTGAAGCCATACTCAAGAAGCATCGAGAGAAACGCGAGTTCTTGAATAAGGTCAAACAGTTCAAAAAGGGTAAACTCAAAGATTTAGATTTTTTGACGGAAGGCTCAGGTCAGAAGAAGGGCCGGAAAGGAGGAAAAGGTAGATTCAAAGGTCCAAAGCTCAATAAAGGAAAAAAAGGGGACAAAGGTAGCAGTAAAAGCGGCAATAAAAAGCAGGGTAAAAAGAAGAAAAACTAGCATAATAAACTCAAAACATCTGTGATAAATTAGGCGTTCTCAAATTTTTATTATGAATCACTGTTTTTCTAATGTGTTACCGTTTTTCGTAAAAATATCCCCAAAACACCTCTAAGTTCTAAAAAATTCTACCCGGAAAGTTAATTTGTAGTTCCAAACTTAAATTGGGAAAGGGCTTGAGTTAGCTGAAATATGTTGTTTCTTTTAAGAAAAATGAAGAAAACACAATTGCTATATGTAACTATATAATCACTTTTCTTCAGCAGAATATATACCTAAGTATGTAGTCCATCCACTGAACTTACAAAATATTTCTTAATTGCAAGTCACCGTGAAATTTGAAACATATTAATTTCATCTACGTACATGATTAAGTTCCAAGTGAAACCTAATGTGAATTTTAATTTTGTTGTGCTAATTTTGCACAGTAAAGATCTTTTTGTATTTTAATTTTAAGTATGGTAAAATAATAAAGTGAAGAAAGAATATTATTGGAATTAACGTATTTATTTTACATTATCACACAATATATTTACACCACATGCTTTAAAATTACTATTTTATGAACAAAATAATAGAAAATTTCTTTCATTGAAAGAGATGAAAAATATTCCAAAATTCTTTTTGCCAATTATAACTCAATGTCATTGAATGGAAAATTAGCATCAATTACCTTTGGAAATAATAACTGTTCGTCAGTTAAAAACAAAGTAACACAAATAAATCCTAAAAACGTTGAAAATCTCTGTAAACAAACTGCTACTCACACACAACAGAGGAGTGCAATTCTAAGTCCTGGTATTTGCTCTTTTATGTTTAAAATTGTCAGGAAGTATTTTCAAATGAATTAAGCTGCAGTAAGGAACATTAGGTATAGAATTTTTTTATGTTTTTATTGAAAAGGTTCGATAAACTTTTCCTTCTATTAACCAGAAGAGAGGCATTTTTCAAGAGTCATAAAGGAAGTAGATTACAATTTTCTCCAAACAATATGTAAAAAACTTCACAATTACATATCATGATATTGTATAGTCATAACTTAACAATTTACAATTTTGCTGAAATCAGAGAAAGTAATGTGTTTTTGGCAAATAATTCTTTTCGCAACAATTAAAAAAATTGTTCAAGAACCTGAATATTCTGTCCTTTTCAAGTGTTACATTCCAATGTTCTTTCTTTCAACTATTGGTACTTGCCATTTGGATTGAGGGTCAAACTTCGATCGCTTAGATCACTGTTTCTTCAATATCAGCATCATAACCGTTGTCTTCTTTTCCAAATGAAGGGCATTTTGTCCTTTTAGGCTGTTTAAACCGGTCATCGTGTTGTATTGTTTTCTTAATAAGTTCAAAGACTTCTTCTAATGTACTCACTGTCGGTTTTTTAAGGAAGTGGTCATGCTTTTTCAGACTTCGGTATAGGCGTTCACATTCCTCGTACTCAACTGGATCCTTGTAATACATAGAAGTTATACGTCCCTCAGCCATCTGCAAGAAAAAACAAATGAAAGATATTAGAAACTGCAAGATGTAAAATAAAAGTGGAATGGGTCCTTGGTGATGGTCAATTCTTTGACAATTTATGCAAAATATTAAAAATTGTGATAATGATAAAGCATGAAAGAATGTATTATGACCCATGACCCATATTAGGTGAGAAATAGACCCATCTCAAGCAAGTAAATGGAGGATTTTTAGAAATGCCTTTTTTTGTGTAAAATTTCTAAAAGCTCGGATTTGTGGCAAGAATGTTTTAAGACTTCGATCATGCTCTTGATTTTGCAACAATGATTTTAGTTGGTATTTGCTAATCTTTCATAAAGGTACTTTGAGAAAGTGATTAAATAGCATGGATGTGAAAAAAGCAAGATTTTTGTCACCCCTAAGAATTCAAATAAGTTCGATTCATTCCTTAGTCAGTACAGGTCCAATTTCAGTCCCCATCCAACAATTCCTAATATGAGATTTTTTAATCGATTATTTTGCTTTTAGTATTTACTTTATCAAATGCTTTTCAGAGATGTTTTTTGGCTTATGAACTTGATTGTAACAGTAGCTATTGTCAAAACTCACCTCATCATACAACCTTCGAATGTTCTGTTCATGATGGGGTGTCCAACCGTACAAAGGTACATGAGGTATCCACCTCCAATCTGGGTGCATGAGCTGATATGGTTTTTGGACGTATGCAGGTTGAGCAGGTTTGGGGTGATAGTTAACTATCGTTTCTTCCTCTTCCGACTCAAATATTGTTCGTTCATCTTCACTGAATATATCGGGCTCACACTCAATTTCATTCACATTTTGGCTCTTGCAGGTGCAAATTTCTTTACTATTTTCATTGTTGTTGCAGTCCAATTCATTGCTTTGAAGTTCATCATTTGGTTTGATGAAAGTTTCGTGATTGATAGCTAATCTTTGTCTTATTCGCTGTGGTCGAAGCGTGGGTCTTGGTCTGTTCGTCTGTATTTTAGCCATTTTATTTGGGTATTGCCCATCATTGTCTTGTTTGCACTGTTCTTTACTAATCTGGTAATGTTGCTCAGGATCTGAATTTTCGCTTATTCGTCTTGTGCGTTGGTAGTTGTAGAATCTGGAAAACCACAGAAATTAATTAAGACAGGTAAATTTTTGTTTTATTAAGTACTTTGAATTTTTTGAATGACGCTACTCGTCAAAATACAAACGAGTATAGTTTATATTTCATGGGTAATAGGCAAATATATCAGTTTTATAGCCCTCATTAGTCAGGGGGTTACTATTTTTTAATTCCTCGCAGATTTTCTGTTATTTTTTTAGGTATAATTATATTGAAAAAAATTGAATTTCCAGACAAAGGCTCAGCGCCTTTGTGCCCATTGAGAAGATGGGATCTAATTGCAAAAGACTGAAGTGTCCGGTTTCTGAAGGATCGTGATTCTATAGGGAACAGTGGCGATTAGGTATTGATCAATGCTAAGAAGTGCTGTAAAGCAACTTGCATGAATTAAATTCTTTTTTTTTTTCAAAAAGTTTTCATGAGTGTGCTCAAGAGAGAAAAGTCAATAGATATAATATTTAGTAATTTGAAATTTGTTAACTCCCTCTTAAAAAAAAAAAAAAAAAAAAAAAAAAAAAAAAAAAAAAAGGCACAAATTAAGTTCTGTTTGGGACCACCTCTCCAAGTTTAAAATTAGTCTTATGTTACACTTGGTGTTCATTTGTGTGTTCATCAACGACAAAAATTACCTACTTCAGCAGCAAAGAATTTAATTTTGAAGGAATTTTTTATTAAGGGTGTTACCACTCACCTAGTGTTATTCTTGAAATAATGATCATAGTTCTTGGTGTCAAGTTGTTTGAGTTCATAGCTCTGTTGAGTGCCTCCAATGCAGGTCTGTTGTTCATGCTCAACTTTTTCATCTGCTTTGTCATTTTTATTCCTCAAGAATTTCGCATTGCAGCTTGATAACTTTGCTCTGACACAGTTTGAAATGTCCTTCATTTTCGTCATGACTGGTTGAAGTCTACTCACAGGTTTTTTCGGCCCCATTGATAATGATCTGTAAGTGAAAAAAATACCAGATAAGACCATAGCTAAACAAGCAGACATCTCCGGCACGCAGGTGCTGGATAAGGAAGCGATTCAATGTTGCATTTAATATTTGAGCATCAATTTTATTCTTTCAGCGGAAGAATCCACTTTCTTACATCTTGCTGATTTTTTCTCTTATTGTAAATAAACGTGATTTTTGAAGTCACTGAAGCCTCCTGAGGGTAGAATGATGAAAATAAATTAGGTAAAGCTGCAGGTCATTCTCAAGTCTGACACACCAAGCTGTTAAGGGCTCAGGAAAATTTTTAAGATTTTTTAAGCTGTTGAGAAAACAAATCCAGCGAAAGTAGAGCAATTTTGGAGCACTTTTTCAGAACCTCGGCTGGAACTTCTTTTCATTCCTTTCCTGCCAAAAAAGGATCATCCAAAAAATAAACAGGCTCAAGCCTCAGAAAATTCTTGAACATTGAGTTTAATCCCCAACAATAAGAGGCAATATACTGTAGATAGACAATTAGACATTTTTCTCCCAAAAATGTCACTTAACACCTTCAGTCATTGAAGGCTCTATCTGCCACTGCATATTCGGACTCGAAATATATTTCATCCATTTACGATGATCAACCACTGATTAAGGCCCCCTCAGAACAAATTGGTCCCTCTAAAATATCAGGCATCCAAGTAGCACAGACTGCAACATAAATTGCGATTGAATGCATGATCAAAGCATTACTTCTGCATCGGAGTGTGGTGTATGTTGCCTATCTGCTGATTGAAAGCACCTACACCTCTTATTGAAAATTCCACTTACATTGAAATCTATAAATAAGTCCTCTTTGTATTGCAAATTACCTAACTTGCTGCTACTTACATAGAGATCATCTTATTGGTACCTAGTGTAAAATCGGCATTCATCGATCAAATCGTCGCCTTCCTGACATCAGATCGTAACTTCACCCTGCAATGAATCGTGCCGTCCATGCAATTTAATGCTTTTCCGGGCTCATCGCCGCACAGTGGATCGAGTCAATTGGCGACGTCGGACATAATTTGGAAACTTTAAAAGCTTATAACTCCGTTTATACAAAACTTTGAGGTTTTAAAAGTGGTACCGTTGGTTTCCTCGTGAAATTTACTTCTCGAAGCACCCCTTAAAATTCGAAATATGACGAAAATAACATCAAAATTTGCAGTTTTAGTCAACAATTTCATGCCCGACCTCTCTAATTGACTCGATCCACTGTGCGCCGTGTGTAATTACGGTCTTTTCTCAGTCGAGCGACGAAATTATTTAAAAACAGTGACATTTCACAGTGACAAATAATCGCACTTTTAAGCGCACCGTTACGCAAGTAGCGCAGTGCAACGAAAATATTGGCATTAAATTGCAATTTAATTTTAATAACATTTTTATTTTTTTACCATTCAATTGCAATATTTTTACATCATTTAGTCGATTTATGCCAATTTTAAACAATGAACAAAATGAGCTCCATGTGTTAGAAAGATAGGCAATACGCAATGCAATGAAAAATAGCAACTTATTTCAATTTTATTCCAGTAAGTTTCAATGAACGGGGCCCCTTCAAATAGGAGCTAGTCAAAATTCGCAGCACCCTAGTGAAATTGCAATAATTTTACTAGGTAATGAAGAATTTGCGTGCAAATTTTTTATTGTTTCATCTGAAAGTGCTTAAAGAGCTGATTTCGCAGTATACTTTATAGGTAATTTTTTTCTGATATGGGAAATAGTATAAAAATAGATTTAGAAGTGAGAAAATGCACCGCCCAGTGACGTCACCTGGCGGCATTTTCCATTTAAACACATGCATTTTAGCATATTAGATTATTTTGTCATATCTTCTCCAATAATTCTTCAATTCATGAACTAAGGGTATCCTCGTGTTCAGGTCACTCAGTAGTTTCCACTTATATAAACACGAAATTCATCAAATTTCAGATACCTGCAAATTCTCTATTGCTACGTATTGCAATCCGTGCTACTTATTGGGTATTTCAGGATTTTCTTTGCTTCTTTCTTGCTTTTTATGTGTAGAGAATGGGAACGTGTAAAGAACCTCCAAAAATACGCCTCTACCCATGAGTAGGCTAGGAGGCTCTGTTAGTTACCCATCATGTCTCCAGAAAAATTCCATTCCTCAACCCTTGATATCCATCGATCCCCAGTGGCATTCTTGGGCCTCTCTCTACATTGAGTTATCTTTTTTTCTATATCAGTCTCATGCCATTCACGCACAATACTCTATATCATTTAGCGAGCCTAATAGCGTAGCGTATGTCCGGTCGTATCTAAAGATGAGTGCACGCCAAACTAGCTGTCAAAGTTACATCACTAGCATTTACCTAAGTAGCTGGGCGCNGGGGGGGGGGGGGGGGGGGGGGGGGGGGCTGCGAAAGGTCTTATATGAACTTGAGACTGACGCAACGAATTATCATTTGAAACTGGATCTTTATCGATAAAATGTTGACAATGGAGCTGATTTTGGCTCGTATTTGCGCATTATCTAACTATTTTCCCAAGTTCCCAACCCTTCACTGACGACGCGACGGACCGGATGGTGCGGTGTGTAATAAGTAAGCAAGTATCCTAGAAAGGACGCGCATGGGTCTTCGCCACTGCGTCTTGGCGCTTCGCTTGCTGAGTTGCCGTTTCTAGTTCATCCACATTGCAAAGAGAATTTCCTTGTCAATGGTGGAATTACTTATGAGACCATATCGATTATCGCCTAAGTGCAAAACCACTTATCCCCATTGCGGTGTTTCAAAATGGGCCGAAAGCAGAAAGCAGAATGGAACCAAGCCACATCAGCTGTTGCCAAAAATCGAGCAATTTAATTTTTTATACGAAAACGGCTGTGCGGATCTCGTGAAAATTTCAGTAAATTTTCTGCATAGTAAGAAGCAAATTTCGTACAGTTTTCAAACGAATCCGCCAGACGTTCTCTTATCAAAAATTGAATTTCCCAGTGGAATTTGGCAGTAACTGATGTGATGTGGTTTGGTTCCTTTCTGCTAAAAGTGGTCGAACTATATCTGCTCATCGTATGTTTTTTTCGAGGCCGAACAATTCACCTTTATGGCTTGTTTATACAGAATATTCTGCTAGCAGAGAAGTAAAATCAACGAAGCTTTCAAGACATTACGCTGTCTCGTTTTCCAGGGCCGGATTAAAGGGGTGGCCACATGAGCCGCGGCCCATGGCGGCAAATTTTGCAATTGTTTTAAATGTATGCATAAAGAAAAATCGGATTCAGAAAAAAAAAAATACAAACGGGAAAAGATTACAAAATCTCTCATTTCCTGATAGTATATCTCTAATTTTGTCGTCTTTCTGTGATACAATAGACAACAACTTTTAATTAGTCGAGTTGAGACTTTGTAAGAGAGAAACCGAACATGGAATCTGGCCTGGAACGGCACGGCGCAGAGAGCAATGATGACGAGAACTTGAGATGAAAAGGAGAAACCCTCGGTGCGGCGTACAAATGTAACACATAATAGCGCCTGCAAGACTGCATGAATACTTCACGCATTGCGTCCAAGACAGTGCGGTCGCTGCGGGCAGCAGTGGGCGGCGTGAAACGTATAGCGCCTACAAGACTGCATGAATACTTCACGCATTGCGTCAAACACAGTGCGTGCAGCAGCGGTCAGCGTGAAACGCACAGCGCAAACAAGACTTTAGGAATACTTTACGCATTGCGCCAAACACAGTGCGGTCAGCGCGACGGCGGAAGTTAAAATTATTAAACCATATTTATGTTTGCTCTTTCATAATTTTTTTCGTTCATTTCATATGAATGGAAGGCCTTGTCCACATAGAGATAGGTTCACGGAATTACTTAAATTTCGCGCCAAGTTCCGTAAACTTTGCTAGTAGTGTTGACAGGGCTTTCGCAAAAAATTTGTCTAACACGAGTAAATGCGTCTTATGCACCCCTCCTCCTCCGGCATGTTCACTTGATGGTTTTTATTGATGTTTCAAAACGAATGAGAAGAGGGCGGCAAAATACAGGCGGCCCATGGGCGGCAAGTAAGTAAATCTGGCCCTGTCGTTTTCCAGAGAAAACTTGAAGTATGACCGGAAATCTGCAACGTCGTAAGCTGAGATGTAAGGTTTTGCACTTTGGCCATCAATACATGGTCAATAATTATGCGAGAAGGATGACTATCTGAACTTTTCCACGGGGCTTCACCTCTCCGTACATGAGTAGGAACACTATATCAACAATTCTGAAAGTCAGAAAACGCGCATATCTATGGTGACGTTTTAGAATCGCCGGGTTTTTTTTCTCATTTTTTAAGAGAAAAACGAATACTCAAAAGTATTTTTTTTTTTTCATGATCATTTTCAAGTTATCAAGTTATATTCCGTAGAGGAAAAATTCCAAGTATAGGTAGTGTTATTTACTTTTCCCATAAGAATGACTGAATAGGTCCAAAAAAAAATATACCTGCAACGTTGCAAATAGACGACGCATGGTTCCCAGAAAAATGACACTTCAAAGAGACCAATAAAACCATATAATTGCTCTGTGAAGCGACATGGAATCACTTAAACTTTGTAAGTATGCTTGCTAAGCGATACCTACCGACATTAGCGAATAGAATTGTAACACGAAAAGTTACTGCTTACAAACACAGCTCGAGGTTAAAAATTAGGTTTACCTAGAGTAAGATTCATCTGAAACTAGGGGCAACCGAAAATGATTCATAATTTTTTTAAAGTTATAGCATTATTCGACTACGAATTGTTTACTCCACACCGTGGTGTATTAGTTGGAAATAAAATATCAATGAGAACAAGAGATTTCTGCAAAATTTATCGAAGTTCAACTTCCTATGCAGTTGCTAAGGGAATGAAAAGCTCAAGGAGCGAAATGAATGTGTGATGTTCGAATAGATAGCTATTCGCGCATCCCGGTATGTTTGTTGCCTACGCAGCACGATGGAAGGGGCATCCGAAGTTGACGATATTTGCGACTA